TAAAACAAAATGAGACTAATGAGGCACAACAGTCCAGGGACAAGGACTAAAAGGCAGGAGGGGACAGGAAAGCTGGTAATAGGGAACCCAAGGTTGAGAAAGGATAGCGTTGACATGTCGTGGGATTGTTAACCAATGTCATAAAAGAATATGTGTACTAACTGTTTAATGAGAAACTATTTGTTCTGTAAACCTTCATCTAAAGTACGATAAAAAAAAAAAAAGAAATAGACGTTAATTAGAGAATATCAGTAAAAAAAAATGTGATGACTGGTGCTATGAAAAGAGAGGTAAAGGGAAACTTCTCTGAGGAAGTGATGGCTTAGCTATAATATGAAAGAAGAGCAGAGGCTGACTCTGTGAGGAGGACACTGAGTACACTGCATGCAGAGTGACCAACATATACAAACAGCGCTCCATGCAAACCACAAACCAGCCACCAAGAAGGTCAGCATGGTCAAAACACACAAGGCAAAGGGAAGCACGCATGAGATAACACTGAAAAAATAGGTTAGGACTGGTGTTAAATTGTCCATCACCTTCTAGTCCAAGTTAAGGATTTTGATCTTTATCCTAAGACCAATGGAAAGCCAAAGGATGAGGGCATGTTGCGACATCAGATTTGAATTTTGAATTTTGAAAAGATCATTCTGACTGTTGTGTGGAGAACTCATTGAAGAGCTCATGAATATTACTGAAAAGTCCCCCTTGGCTAGTATGATGATTACCTAACTATTATTCAAAAATCTTGTATGATACCCCAAACAGAGCTGCTTCCACATCATTCAAATGCCCCAAGCACTCCAACGTAGACCCCCTGCCACAGAAAACAAAACAAAACTCTGCTGTGCGTAGGAGGGATTATGTTTGTCAGGCCAGTGCTCTCTGTTTTTATTATTTTTTGTGGAAGATCAAATATAACACAAAAAATTGCTTCTATGTAACTTTGTTTTCTTTCCCAGGCCATCTACAAGGCTGACTTGGAGTGGTTGCGTGGCATTGGCTGGATGCCCCAAGGGTCTCCTGAAGTACTGAGAGTCAAAAATGCCCAGCAGATCCTACTAGACAGTGTCTATCGGACACCTGTGGTGAAACTTAAATATACTAGTATTGTTGACACTCCTGAAGTTGTCCTCGCTAAATCAAATGCTGAAAATATTAGTATTGTACGTCATTTTTTCTCTATATTAAAATGAAATTAGTACTATAAATAAATGATAAATAATTAACTTCATAATCTACTTCTATGATAATAATAAAATTAATGATAACTACAAATTTAATATGTAATGTGGACAGGGTTGTTTTATTATCACTTATTAATTTTAAACAAAGTCTCAAAGTATAATTAAAAAGTATTAATAGAGAATTTATATCAATTTTGAGTAACTTTTGTGAAAAGATTCTAGAAGTATCTGCCTTAATATGAAAATATTTTGAATCAGAAAAGTTGAAATTTGTGTACTGGAACCAGAAAAATTACAAATTGTGAAGTAATTTTGTTGTTATTATTGGTTCTTTCCATAGCCAAAGTACAGAGAAGTTTGGGACAAGGATAAAACTTCCATCAGCATAATGCCAGATACTCCAGAAATTAAGCTAGCGAGAGCAAATGCTCTTAATGTGAGCAATGTAAGTATGAGGATGGACTCCTTTTTCGTTTGGAAAGTCAACCAGTTGGAGCTATAGGATCAGCATGGAACTCTTCATAGCCAGTGCTGGGGATGGGGAAGGCTCCTTGCCATCAGCCCTTGACCAGGAGTAAGGAGAGAGCAGATCCCTGGCTCTGAGTCACTAGGCAAGGCCAATTCCTGGTGAGCCAATGTCAACATGACCAAAGGGAGAAGGGAATAAGGACAAAGGGCATGAAAGAGGAATGAAGAGACACACAAGCAAAAAAGGGACGGTAACTACAAATTCACAGGAACTCAAAATAATTATGAAAATTCTTTTGCAAATTTCTATACAAATTAATTTTAAAACCTGGATGTATGAGATATTATCTAAGAAATCATAAACCACTAAACTTGACCCCAGAAAAAAATTGAAAACATTAAACAAAAAATTGAGAAGGTTATTAAAGAGTTTTCCCTCTCCTCTTAAATTCTAGGCTCACCCAGATGATTTCACAGAAGAATTCTTTCAGAATATGAAAGAACAAATAAAATACTATAGAGCATAAAGAAGGAAAGTCATCCAACTACCAAAACTTCCTCAAAGATAATTCCACAAATAAAAATTGTAGGCCCATAATAATGGGGAAAATCTTAAATAACATATTGACACATCAAATTAAATATGTTACATAACTCTATCTAATAAATACATTAAAATGATTTGATGCAAATAAGTGGGATTCATCCAAGAATGCCAGTAGGGTTCCATATTCAAAAATCAATTAACATATTAGGAAAAAAGAAAACAAAAACAACCATATGCTCATTTTATTGGATTTGAAAAGTCATATGAACCAAAGTCAATACACTTTCTTGTTTTTTAAAATAAAATCTTAGTAAAATAGGAATAAATGAATATATTTCTTGATGTGACTTTAAAAACAAGTCTCAAATCAAAGGCCAGCCTCATCCTCAATAAGTAAGCTTCTTATTAAAATCAGGAATAGAACAAGGGTGCCCACTAATATTACTGTTTTTTTAGTATTTGTTGGAAGTAATTACATAAAAGTAAGAATAAGAGATAAATATTGGAAAGACAGAGACAAAATTATCATTATTTGCAGAAAAAATAATATATGCCTGGAAAAAGCAAGAGAATTAATTATAAAGCTATTAGATGCAGTAAGAGCATTCACGAACATGGCTAACTACAAAACTAAAGTTGAAGAAAGGTACCACTTTCATGGATTGCAGAGATTTCTTGTGTGTAAAATAAGTATGACCTTAGAAGAAAGGTACAACCTTAGTGCAATTCACCATGGTTTAGAACTTTGGGTCCTTGCGCAACAATAAATCTTTGTGAGAGAAGCCTGCCAAGCAAAGATTGTGTGTCAAACTGCTCCGTCAACTCTGTTGTAATGAACCACTTGGGGACTTATTTTTTCCAATGTTTGGGAAGAAAATAAAATTTTAGGACCCAGAATTTTTTTTTTTTTCGGACCACAAGCAATGTTATGGAGCAGTGCACTGTTGTTGCCAAGCAACTAGATGGAGAGGTAGTCAGCTCTTCACTGCTGCCTAGGCTTCAGGTCTATCCACAGGCACCTTTGTCAGGAAAATGCTGGGAAGTCTCATGGGCTCTTTTATGCATGATAAAGATCTCATATGGTAACACCAGAACCTTACCATTAATATCATGACGTAAGCAAGGGTAGTATTTGAAACTATGCCAAAAGTAAAGTGTATTAGTTTTAGGTAGTAATGAGAATAGCCTGCACTTTGGAGGAAATCAAACATCCCCTTTGGTACTAAGCAAAATGTAAAGACATTTTCTCTATACATGGTACAGTCATTCCTATAATCCTGATAAAATAGTATTCAAAACTACTTCCATCACTTTAAAAAGCATTACCTGGCAGAATATTTGCATGTGATTTTATAGATAACAAAACAAATTTGCAATAAGCAGACTTATTTAATCTTCACACGAGCCATGTAAGATATTGTTAACGAATTTTTATCAGATGGGAAAGTTGAGATCAAAACGGGTTAAGAAATTTGCCCAAATTCTCAAAGTCAGTAGGTGAAAAGTCAGGGTTCAAGGCCATGTATACATTTTGTGTGTGTGTGTGCAAAGGAAATATATATTTGAACCACATAAACAGACAAAACTTTATTAATAAGAAAAAAGTGTGATAATGTATGTAATAAAATAAAATAAATTTAAAAAAGATAACATAAAGATAACAAGTTTGCATTAAATATGTACTAATATAATACATTTTGTTGTGGCAAATACTTTTTATTCTGTACAAAAAACAAGTCAATTGTTAAAATAGGCCCACCCAATACAAAAACTTGAATGAAAATTCATACAAAACTTGTCCACGATTGCAAGAACAAAATTTATCAGATCATCCATTTCTCAGATATGCAAAGGCCATGAACAGTCAATAATTGGAATCACCTCACCTTTTTGTACTATAGAAGCTCCATATTGCTTGGTATGATGTCTGAATTATACATTTAAATTACTGTTTTTTCGGAGTCTTTCTGCCATTGTCAAGATAGAATGTATTCATTTAAATATGAATATATATTGAAATATATTTAAAAAGTTATCTGTAAGACTTTCACTACCTTAGTTAACTTCTATGTAAGAACAAAACAGCACCATATTGAAAAAAATAACTATTACATCCAATTGTGGTTTAGCCATAAGAAGATCTAAGAAACTGTATTGGGAAAAAAACACAAACGTAAAAAGTTTGTCATTCCTAATATTACAAAATAGAATTGAATTAAAGAAGCTGAATTACTGAATGAAAGGAGTTCAATAGTAACCATGAATGTCTGAACTTGCCCCAATGCTACAATGTAGTAACACAAGAAGCAGCTACACCCTTTGCATTATGCATGAGCTCATAAACCATGAACAGCTACAGCAAGGCTATGATTAAAATGAAAAAGAAGCCTTGTCAAGTTCAGATCTTTGGACTCCAGACACCATTACATATCCCCATAGAGGGGTGCATGGGATAATTTTCCCACCTATTCTCTTTCCTTTAGCTGATCTTAAGTTCTAGGGCTTTATAACAATTAATTCTACTTGAGTTTTAGGAGTTATTGGTAAATTTGAATGTGGAATGATATCTTGTTTTTTCTCCTCTTCAGAAACTTTACCGAGAAGGTTGGGATGAGATGAAGATGAGCTGTGATGTACGGCTAGATGCCATCCCTATTCAGGCTGCCAAAGCCTCCCGGGAGATTGCCAGTGACGTAAGTGTGGCATTTTTTAACTTCCTAGTTTTTAAACAAATGCCCTGGATGCATCAAGAGTACATGCTGTGACCCATCTGCTTTGTTTTTCCACCCCCAGTATAAATACAAGCTTGACCATGAGAAGCAGAAGGGACACTATGTGGGCACCCTCACAGCCAGGGATGACAACAAGATCCGCTGGGCCCTCATAGCTGGCAAGATTCAGAATGAAAGAGAGTACCGGCTGCACTGGGCCAAATGGAAGACCAAGTTCCAAAGCCCTGTGGATATGCTTTCCATCTTACATTCTAAAAATTCTCAGGCTCTGGTCAGCGACATCGATTACCATAACTACCTACACAGGTGGACATGCCTGCCTGACCAGAACGACGTGATTCAGGCCAGGAAAGCCTATGAACTGCAAAGTGATGTGAGTGGGCTGCATTTTATGATGAGCGCTTCTGTCATTTGGCCATAAACTCCCAGAAAGCATATGACATTAAAATCTTGTATTATATTATGTCAGGTCTTCACACAGCCAAGAATTTGACACTAGGTAGACTTTATTGTATGGTATCAAAATCACCAAAGCCATGGAGGATCTAGCTTTTGTATCAAGAAAGAAATGGTAGTGTGAATATAGTTCTTAATTGTATCGGGTTAAAGAAAAACGTTGTAAAAATATTATTCCTGTAGAGTTTAGGTAGCAATCAAGGTTTATATCAGAAGTCAAATATTGTCAACCATGGACAGGATGTAACCACAAGTATGCTTTTTCTGTTGACATGGTGTTTAAAAACTTTGAATAAGTTGCCAAGATTTTTAAATCAGGAAATTTTATATACAAATCCAGATTTCCCATTTCTCTTAAGTATCAGGGGAAGTAATTCATTACCTCTTTGTAATAAGAAGCTGAAACTGAGTGGGGCTACCCCTTTTTAAATAGAAAATATATTCTCCAGTTTACTGCCCTGCCTGGCCTCCTAATTATTTATGTTACTTGCCTGGCTGCTTGAGTATGTCATCCTGCAATCATATAGTATTTAAATTGTATTTACCCACCAGACCAATGGATACAATAAATAGGACCATGTGACCAGGGTTGTCGAATTCTTATCCTGGTCTTGTTTTCACAGGCTGTTTACAAGGCTGACTTGGAATGGTTACGCGGGATTGGGTGGATGCCAAGTGGTTCTGTTTCTGTCAATCACGCCAAACATGCTGCAGATATCTTCAGTGAGGTATTCCAAGATGTTACCCTGTCATTCACTATACTTCCCAAAAGGCTGAACCAAAAATACAGAAGGCAAAATGCTGTCATCCCATATCAGCAATTTTAATAATTTTAACTGCTTTAATTTAGACCAGGCATACATTTTTCCAAAATAATCGTGTACTTCCCTATCACGTTATGGCACCAAATCCATAAGATAATATCGAGAGCATTCATTTAAGCTTAAAACCAAAACCAAATAAACAAACAAACCCATTGCCGTTGAGTTGATTCCAACTCATAGCTACCCTATAGGTCAGAGTAGAACTGCCCCATAGGATTTCTAAGGCTGTAAATCTCTACGGAAGCAGACTGCCACGTCTTTCTCCTGTAGTAGCCCTGGTGAGTTTGAACTGCCGACCTTTCAGTTAACAGTCGAGCCCTTAACCACTGCCCCACTAGAGCTCCTTCATTTATATTTAGAATTGCATAAATGACAAAATTATTGTGTCAACAATAACGTTATGCTTGAGAGAAGTTTGTCCAGTTCAAAAAAATGTGTTAAGAGTAAAGTGATATTCAAAATGATACATTACATGACTTTGGGAGCTAAGCAAACTTGCTACTTTAAAATCTGTGGGAGCCATAGAAGCCAAACCGTTTATTTAAAAATAAAATGCCAAAAAGAAAGCCTAATTGCCATGAAGATGCCATTCAAGTATGGCACTCTGTGCTTCTAGTAGAGATAGCTGCTTTTGAGTTGACTCCAACTTTATTATGTACAACAGAATGAGACATTGCCTAGTCCTGTGTCATCCTCACAATCACCAGCATGTTTGAATCCATTGCTGCAGCTATTGTGCCAATCCATCTCCCTGAGAGTATCCCTCACCCTCATTTCCCCTCTGCTTCACCAAACATGATGTCCTCCTCTAGTAATTGATTCCCCCTGATCATGTGTCTGGAGCCCTGGTGGTGTAGTGGTTAGCAGTGACGCTGCTAACCAAAAGGTTGGCAGTTTGAATCCACCAGCTGCTCCTTGGACACCCTATGGGCCAGTTCTACTCTGTCCTATAGGGTCGCTCTGAGTCAGAATCGACTCAGTGGCAATGAGTTTGCTTTTTTTTGGATGATGTATCTTAAGAAAGAGAGTTGGACAATGTTCTGTTGTGATCCATAAGTTTTTCATTGGCTAATTTTTGGAAATAGATTGCTAGACCTTTCTTCATAATCTGTCTTAGCCTGGAAGCTCCCTGAACCCTGTCCACCATGGATATTTGAAATACCAGCGTTATAGCTTTTAGCATCACAACAGCGTGCAAAACCACCATAGTACGACAAACTGACAGACAGATGGTGGGCCAGTACAGAAGGACCCTTAAATTTAGAGTATCTTTCTCAGCTCACACAGGACCAGTGACTACAACTTTGTCTAAAAAATATTTTTCTTCCCTACAGAAAAAATATCGCACAAAAATAGAAACTCTTAACTTTACCCCTGTGGATGACAGAGTTGATTATGCGACAGCAAAACATAGTGGGGAGATCCTAAATGATGTAAGTACACAGCTGTCATTCTAAAATTGCACGACCATACAGATATCCTTTCCAAAGCTTTTCCACCTGCTTAAACTCAGCATGCAATCATTGCCTGAAATACAGATTTTAATCATTGAAATTATTGATGCTAGCAACTGCTTCGACAACATGATGTTTCTTAACATTAAGTAACTTACTCTCTATTAATTTTAGATTAAATACCGGAAAGATTGGAATGACAACAAATCAAAGTACACCCTCACAGAAACCCCCCTGCTGCACACTGCCCAGGAGGCAGCCCGGATACTGGACCAGGTATGGATTTACCTGGATGGCTGGTACTTCGTGTGGGGACAGAGAAGCACAGATAACTATTCCTGAGATCTATGCAAATGGCTTATCCTTCTAGTCCGACTCCCCATTGTAACCTTTTGTTGCTGTTTCTGTCTTTCAGTACCTGTACAAGGAAAGCTGGGACAAACAAAAAGCCACAGGTTATATTTTGCCTCCCGATGCTGTGCCGTTTGTTCATGCCAATCACTCTCGTGATGTTCAGAGTGAGGTAATTCCCCCTGATGTCAGGGTATTTTGCAAAGATTGGGCCTTGCTTGTTAGGGATTTCCGCTTTGCCTAAAGCCCAGTACCTTGGGTGGTCCTTTTCAGCTTGGCACACTGGGCTGCCCTTGGCCATAGTTGGCATACCTACCACCCTTTTGGCCCTTTCCCCATGGGCTTTGTGCTTTCTTCTATTTTTTCTTGGCTTCTTTAAAAGCTAGTGTTTAAGTTCTTTACTTTTTTTCCACATTTTCTGGCCTCCCTGAAATCTCTAGGCCTACAATAAAAATATTGTCAGAATTAGAAAACAGTATATGTTTTTTCTATTTTTAAATTGATTTTTTTTTCATATTTATTTATTGCTATCAACACTTTTTGTTATTTGTTCTCAAGGGGAGTCACACAAAAGGCTGGGGGGCTGAATTTGCTGAAGTTCCTTAGTAGAAGGTCAAGCCCCCTTTTGCCTTGTGTGTTTGTCAGAGGTGACTGAATCTGTATTTTTTCTTCCCACCAGCTGAAATACAAAGCTGAGCACGTAAAGCAGAGAGGCCATTATGTTGGTGTTCCAACAATGAGAGATGATCCTAAACTGGTTTGGTTTGAGCATGCAGGCGATATTCAAAATGACAGACTATACAAAGAGGACTATCACAAAACAAAGGCCAAAATCAATATACCTGCTGATATGGTATCCATCTTGGCTGCCAAGGAGGGGCAAACCCTTGTCAGTGACATTGATTACCGTAATTACCTGCACCAATGGACGTGTCATCCTGACCAAAATAATGTTATTCAGGCAAGGAAGGCCTATGACCTACAGAGTGATGTAAGTGATCTTTATGTCTTAATTATATAGAAATGTATGGTGCATTCTGAAAATATACGTAGAATTCTAGAACTACCAATCTTTGAAACTTTGGGCCATAAATATTTAATTACTTCAGAGGGGAATTGAAGCTGGATATGATGTAGACAAAGACCAAGGCAATGACCAACTGATAACTTTATCTATTGAGTAGGCTTTTCTGAATAAGTTCCACAACCAAAGCCAATTTTTAAAAAAATCTGTTGATTTTATACCATCTCTGCCATTAGCAACTCTTCACTCACGTTCATGCGGGAAGTTATCAGCTGCTTTAAAATTATAATTAGCATGGGTAGGAATTCATATTGAGTTGGGGTTTTGATAATATTAGATGATAGTACAGTCAAAGACCTAGGAATGCCCCAATCTTGATCTGCCAAGCTCTTCATTCCTCAAGGCATTTATGAAGATGTTTCCAAGGAATCAAAGCAAGAGGGAAACAAAGTATTGATTAGCTGCATAAGAGCCCAGTATCCCCTCACACAGAGCTTTGGTAAAGCTAGGATAGAGAATGTGACTTGGGCCACTTCCCACTGAAACCAGATCAACACCTTTACCTGCCACCAGGTAGTCTGTAGAGAACAGAAACACAGTGGATGTTCAGGTGCACAGAGAAGCTACCCCTACCTGGGTCTTCTCATCACAACCAGAAAGGAAACAAGAAGTCAAAGACAGCGCCTGTAGCCTAGGTGCTGAACTTGAACATCCCACCTCTGTAGTTGCTGTAGCGTAATGACTGTTGTGGAACTTCAATCAGGTTAGCACCTCCTCCTCATTTGGTGTGGTTGGGCCAGGAGAAGCCAGGAGCTGGGACAGGGGAAGGCAGAGGTATGGTTACCCTGAGGAGATACCTCCTCCTTCCCTACAATTACGTGACCATTTACTTGTGCAATTTACTTTGTTTAGTATAAATGCCCACATATTTCCCCATAACTAAATATTTCAAATCCATCTAAAAATACAACCTCCTTGATAAACCCATTTCTTATGCCCACAATGGAAAATAGCAGCTCCTTCCCTTAACTCACACAGCACTTTACTGGTTTGCTCTCACAGCACATAACCACTTTCCACTTTGTAAATGATTTCTCTCTACTCCTGAAAAAAAACAACAACAACAACAAAAAAGTTGTCGTGGAGTCAAGTCCTACACATGAAGACCCACTGTGTGTCAGAATAGAACTTTGCTCCATAGGGTTTTCAATGGCTGATTGTATTTGGAAGTAGATTGCCAAGCTTTTCTTCCAAGGCACTTCCGCGCTGACTCGAACTTGCAACATTTTGATTAGCAGTCCAGCATGTTAACTGTTTGCAGCACCCAGGGACTTCTCTCTACTGCTAGATACTTATTTATACTTTTCCTTCAAAGCACCTAGTACAATGCCTTGTTCATAGTAACAGGTTCAAGAAATAGTGCTCAGGTGAACAAAGGAAACCGTGATTGAATGAATGAGACAAAAGCCACTACAGAAATCCTTAAAAAGCTTCCAAAACATTTTTTCTAATCTTCTCTCTGTCATCCTGTGCCTGAGTCATTTATACCTGCATCATATCTGTCTTCCCGCTCTCAGAATATCTACAAAGCTGACCTGGAATGGCTCCGAGGCATTGGCTGGATGCCCCTGGATTCTGTGGACCATGTGAGGGTTACTAAGAACCAGGAAATGGTGAATCAGGTATGCAAAACCTATTCTCTTTCTCACCTAATACCTGCCCTCCTTACCTGTATGTGGAGGTAGGTACCTGTGGGGGTTGACCTGTTGTAATCTTCTCTATTTCTTTGCAGATAAAATATAAGAAAGATGCTCGTGACAACTATCCTAATTTTACAAGTGTGGTGGATCCTCCAGAGATTGTTTTGGCCAAGATTAACTCAGTCAATCAAAGTGATGTAAGTTTGCTTTACAAATGAGGAAGCACATAGATTGGGGAGTTGTCTATCATTGAATGGATTTGCTTAATTCTTGATAATTATTTGTAAGAAAATTGAGTAGTTAAATTACATGATAATGTTTGGGGGCTGGGGCATTTTAAAAGTCACTATAGGTGAATTGAAGAAAAAATTCAAGCCTTGAGTTGCAATAGTGAAGGATTCTATGGGGAAAATACTAAACGATGCAGGAAGTATCAAAGGAAGATGGAAGGAATACACAGAGTCATTATACCAAAAGGAATTGGTGGATGTTCAACCATTTCAGGAGGTAGCATATGATCAGGAACCGATGGTACTGGAGGAAGAAGTCCAGGCTGCACTGAAGGCATTGGCGAAAAACAAGGCTCCAAGAATTGATGGAATGCCAATTGAGATGTTTCAACAAACGATGCAGTGCTGGAAGTGCTCACTTGTTTATGCCAGTACATTTGGAAGACAGCTACCTGGCCAACCGACTGGAAGAGATCCATATTTATGCTTATTCCCAAGAAAGGTGATCAACCGAATGCAAAAATTATCGAACAGTATCACTAATATCACACACAAGTAAAATTTTGCTGAAGATCATTCAAAAGCGACTGCAGCAGTATATCGACAGGGAATGCCAGAAATTCAAGCCAGATTTAGAAGAGGACATGGAACCAGGGATATCATTGCTGATGTCAGATGCATCCTTGCTGAAAGCAGAGAATACTAGAAAGTTGTTTACCTGTGTTTTATTGACTATGCAAAGGCATTTGACTGTGTGGATCATAACAAATTATGGATAAAATTTCGAAGAATGGGAATTCCAGAACACTTAATTGTACTCATGAGGAACCTGTACATAGATCAAGAGGCAGTCATTTGAACAGAACAAGGGGATACTGTGTAGTTTAAAGTTAGGAAAGGTATATGTTAGGACTGTATTCTTTCACCATGCGTATTTAATTTGTATTCTGAGCAAATAATCCAAGAAGCTGGACTACAGGTAGAAGAATGGGGCATCATGATTGGAGGAAGACATTAACAACCTGCGTTATGCAGATGACACAACCTTGCTTGCTGAAAATGAAGGGGACTTGAAGCACTTACTGATGAAGATCAAAGACCACAGCCTTCAGTATGGATAACACCTCAACATAAGAAAACAAAAATCCTCACAACTGGACAAATAAGCAACATCATGATAAACAGAGAAAGATTAAAGTTGTCAAGGATTTCATTTTACTTGGATCCACATTCAACACTCATGGAAGCAGCAGTCAAAAAATCAAATGACACATTGCATTGAGCAAATCTGCTGCAAAAGTCCTCTTTAAAGTGTTGAAAAGCAAAGATGTCACCTTGAAGACTAAGGGGCGCCTGACCCAAGCCATAGTGTTTTCAATCACCTCATATGCATGTGAAAACTGGACGATCAATAAGTAAGACTAAAGAAGAATTGATGCCTTTGAATTGTGGTATTGATGAAGAATATTGAATATACTATGGACTGCCAAAAGAATGAACAAATCTGTCTTGGAAGAAAAACAACCAGAATGCTCCTTAGAAGCAAGGATGGCAAGACTACATATCACATACTTTAGACATGTTAGGAGGGATCAGTCCCTGGAGAAGGACATCATGCTTGGTAAATTAGAGGGTCACTGAAAAAGAGAAAGACCCTCGACAAGATGGATGGACACAGTGGCTGCAACAATGGGCTCAAGCATAACAACAATCGTGAGGATGGTGCAGGACCGGGCAGTGTTTTGTTCTGTGGTACAGAGGGTCGCTATGAGTCAGAACTGACTTGATGGCACCTAACAACAACAACAGGTGATATGCTATAGCCACTTTTAGATAATATCTATTTTCTTGTCTGAATTATTCTATTATATTAGCTAAAATGAACTGAAATTCAACCAGATAGTTGGTTAGTTCTATCTCTAAATGTAGACTGATTGCTTCTCAGCCTTTTGACTAAGATCAAGTGTAAGTGTAGACTAAGTATTATGTTATTAGATAGGTCCTATGAAAATTTAAATATGCATTTATAGTAATCAAAAGGCTCTGCTTTGTTTTGTTTTCTCTCCTTAGGTGAAATATAAAGAAACATTTAATAGAGACAAGGGCAAATACATATTTTCTCCAGATACGCCACATATCTCCCACTCCAAAGACATGGGGAAACTCTATAGTACTGTAAGTTCTATTTTATGTGATATACATACAACCCAGTTCCTTGTTTTAGGCTCTTGTCAATATTCACATTCTTGACTGATTTTGTGAACAGCTGAACTTATAAGAAGATATCTTATTTTTTATTGCATTTAGTCTTTTTTTTTTTTTTAGAAGGAATGTATTATTCAGCGTGAGTAGCGTTTATTCAGCTGGTAATTTTTGAGCTCCTGTGATGTGCCAGGCACTGAATGAGGCTCCAAAGAGCTAAAGCACAGTGAGATATGCCCTTGAGGAGCTCATATTTCAGTGAGGGAAACAGACATACATGTAAATAGATAATAATGTAAACAGTGCTGAGAGAGTTCTGGAACTGAGCAACTACCAACAGGTAGAAGGGAGGAAAGGCTGGTCCTTCTTAGCAATCATGTACAAGCATCTCCAGGCAACAAAGAGAAGACATGTCCTCCAAAATTTAATCCCACTAATTTAAATGATGGGTTGTGTGTGTGTGTGTGCGCGCGCACGCAGGTGCACACCCTATGGGGAGCAATCTTTGGTGATTCTCTCCTTGGGTGCAAATTTGTCGTCGTTTTTATTAGAATTGTAATATAGTTAAATCCTGTTGTAAAAAGCCTCAGAGTCTACATATTTAATTTCAGTAACCCAAATCATTCTGCCCCGTTCTTAGATAGACACAAAAAAGACTGTAAGTAAAGATTTAAGCCTTTCCTTAAACATAAATATTTTACCAATTTTTTTTAGTGGTATCTGAAAGAAGTTGAATGCAAATTTTTGTTGACATGAATTTCTTTGTTCTAGATACTGTATAAGGGGGCATGGGAGGGAACCAAGGCCTATGGCTATACCTTGGATGAGCGCTATATTCCAATTGTTGGAGCCAAGCATGCTGACTATGTAAATAGTGAGGTCAGTATCACTTTTTCCTCTCATAGGTTTGAGAGTCTTTATTGGGAAGTAAGGGCTGGTTAGAAAACCCCAGTGACTCTTAATGTTGTACCCACTTCACAGCTTAAATACAAAGAGACATATGAAAAGTTGAAGGGCCACTACCTGGCTGGAAAAGAAATCAGTGAGTTCCCTGGTGTGGTTCACTGTCTGGATTTCCAACAAATGAGGAGTGCGGTGAGAAAAATATTCACTTTTTTTTTTTAATACCTTAAGTGTTACTAGTGTGCCTGCCTACTTATAGTCTGCCTTGTGGGTCGAGATTAGCAGAGGGGGAAGGTGGTGAGGAATGAGTCATTTGTGAAGATTTCCCCCACCCCTGCCAGCTAGCCTTGTACACCTCTGGATGACTCTATATTGCCTCCCTTTCCTTCCCTCCCTCACTACCAAACACACAGTGAGGGCTCTGTATCTGGAAAAAGGAGAAAGCATAAGCTCATTATTTACCCTGTGTTATAAATGGATGGGGAAATTAAAAAATAAGAAAAATATAGTAAAATATCTTTTTTTTTAAACTATAGTCTGTTCTAAAGATACTGATCTATATTGGAAATGAGACTATAAAAGAGATTGATCTGAATAATTTACATTTTAATTCCTTTCTTACTTTTGGCTTTACAAAATAATGTTCTTTAGTTGAACTACAGAAGACATTATGAGGACACCAAAGCAAATGTTCATATCCCCAATGATATGATGAATCATGTCCTGGCTAAAAAATGCCAGTACATCCTCAGTGATCTGGAGTATCGGCACTACTTTCATCAGTGGACATCTCTTCCAGAAGAGCCCAACGTTGTACGCGTCCGAAACGCCCAGGAGAACTTGAGTGATGTATGTCCTTTCCGCAGCTTGACTTAATTACATCGCCTTGGCCCTCTATGCTCCCATTGCCTTTACATTCATGAACTCTACTTCTTTTCAACACAGAGTGCCATGAATAACCTCTTTTTGGTGTAAGAATCCCCTCTGAGCCTTAGGACACTTATGTTAAGTATTTAATCTTTTTGACACTAGACTAAGATGTAGGTATTGCTCTCTTCCTAAGCTGGGCATTAAACATCTTCTAGCTGTTGAGAGGCCTACCCCATGACCATTAAGCATAAGCACAACCAAGTGTCAATAGGAAATTATAAAAATGCTCAATTGTAAATACAGTTGGTACCTATCAGCTTTTGCTCTTCCCTCTTTCTTACAGAACGTGTATAAAGATGACTTGAATTGGCTGAAAGGCATTGGATGCTACGTTTGGGATACACCCCAGATCCTGCATGCCAAGAAAGCATATGACCTCCAGAGTCAGGTGAGTTGATCTTCCCAGAAGGACTGACTTTCTATCGTTCACCAGAGTCCATATTGCATCCAGTGGGCTGATGGCCATGCTGTCCCCGTGCCTGAGCAGAGAAAGCTGCTGTAATAGTGCATGATCAAAGGAATCAAAGGCCCCTGCCCAAGCAAACCTCTCCTGGTGGCCTGAGGTTTGAGGCACTGGTTGTTTGTAATGGAAAGGTTTTAAAACTGGGAGGTGTTTCATAGTGAATTACACTCAAGTCTATACCTATTTCAGGTTAACTTGCAGAGAGTAGGATGTAAAAGCATAGATAAGTTTTGAAGGAAAAAATGGATATCTGGAAAATTTCCAGAATATAGTTCAGTTCTAATAAGACAGGTCTAATGAAAAGTCAAAATTGAAGAGCTGCTGTCAAAGAGGAGTATAGGCATGGAAACAGCAACAAAATGAGGGAAGAGACCTGACAAAGATGCAGACCCCACTCTTGGGCAAGAGTGACTATTAATTTTGGTGGCCATATAAAGTCTGCAGGACAATAGAGTGGAAGCCTCTTTTTTTACAATTAAAGCAGAAACCTAAAAATAAATAAAGGCACATGAATTGGCAAAAACTGTTGAAGCTGATGACAGACCAGTATTTTACCATTTTTGGTGACTTTTGTTTTTCTTTGCAGCTACAATACACAGCAGCAGGTAAAGAAAACCTACAAAACTATAACATGGTCACAGATACACCACTTTATGTGACTGCTCTTCAAAGTGGCATTAATGCCAGTGAGGTGAGTTTTCCTTGTTCTTCTCTTCCAGGGACAAGCCATTTCTTCTCTTTATATAGTTTCAAACAACAATGAATAACCCCCCCCCCCCTTTTTTTGTGTGTGTAGGTGAAATATAAAGAAAATTATCATCAGATTAAGGACAAATATACAACAGTTCTAGAAACAGTGGATTATGACAGAACCAAGAATCTGAAGAGTCTGTATAGCAGTGTAAGTTGAGTTTGTTTCTCTTATATTTGGACCAAGTTTTCCTCCTTCAGAAATAATAAGAGAATAAAATGGATAGGCACCCTGTCCCAAAGGTTTTCCAGATTTTATCATTGACCTTCAAGTTCCTACTTTGCCTCACAAATCCTCATTACAATTAAATAAGCCCCTATTTGAATATTGCACTATTTCGTGCACTTGCTACAAACTCAGATACTTGTTCCTTATTGTGGGCAAATACCATTGAAGCTTTTCTTTGTTGACCCTGAATTTGTCATTTTCTGGCTTCTCCAATGGTCAGGGGCCCCAATAAAGGCAATCTCTTTTTCCTCCTCTGAATTGGTTAATTCAACAAACATTTTTAAATCTTTTACTTTACACTTACAGAAAATTTGCAAAAATAGTACAGCGATTTCTCAGATATCCACCACCCATCTTCTCCATAGTACAATTAGCAAAACTAAGAAATTATCATTGTTACAATGCTATTAACTAAATTACATATTCTGCCTGTATTTCACCAGTTTTTCCATTAATATTCTTTTTCTGTTCCAGGAACCAATTCATGATCCCACACTGCATTTAGCTGCCGTGTCTCCTTAGTCTCCTCCATCTGTGATAATTTCTCTGTTTCCTTATCTTTTAGGATCTTGACAGTTTTGAAGAATATTTACCATTTATTTTTTATAAAGTCCCTCCACTGGGTCTTATCAGGTGTTTTCTCATAATTAGATTTCAGTTATGCATTTTTGGCAAGAATAACAGAGAGCTGATATGCCCTTCTAGGTGTATCATATCAGATGGTATATGATGGTAATAACTGGTGATGTTAACCATGATCACTTGGCTAAGTTAGCATCTGCCGGGTGTCTCCACTGTAAAGTTACTGTTTTTCCCTTTGCTATTAAAAAATAACTTGGGAGAGATACTTTGAGATCATGCAAATATCCTATTTCCCCTCAAACTGTCTCCCACATATTTCAGCATCCAAAAGTGGATCTTGCTTGTAACAATCATTTCTGTGGTGTATGCCTAACAGTGATTTTCTGTTTCCCTCATTCCTTCTACACTTATTAATTGGAATTCTTCTCTAAGGAAGAGCTGTCCCTTCTCCACTATTTAATTATTTATTTATTTATTTTGATTATTTATTTAAATCGGTTTGAGTTCGTGGATGTTCATTTTATTCTTATAACTGGCAGACTGTGGTAATTGCTATGGTAGGAAACAAAATAACAGACTAAGAAATTATGGTCGTGGTGTTAAACCAGTTATTTTTTTAGGTGTACTTGGATCCTACAGAGTGAGAAGATCTGGAGGTTGGTAGAAGTGTCTGAGAAGGACAGAAACAGAGAAAGGAAAGGTCCTCTATTCAGAAGCTAATCAGAATCAATTTTCCCATATTAACCCGAAGATTTTTAATCCTTACAGAACCTGTACAAGGAGGCCTGGGATAAAGTAAAAGCCATCAGCTACGTTCTGCCTACCAGCACCATGTCCCTGACACACGCCAAGAACCAGAAGCATCTGGCCAGCAATGTAAGTCAAGAACAAACATGGCAGTGTTCCCACCCCTCCTGCCCTTCCCTGCTCTCCACTTCCAGAACTATTCTGGTTGATTCCTATGCTGACTATATGAATATCTCGTATCCCAGAAAATAATTCTAGATGTTCAGTCCTCACAGAGTTTGTGCATTTGTTGCTTCTTCTCAAAGGCACAGCAGTCCAGAGAAAACTCCCAAACACTAACAATAAGGACACAGATGTGACCTTTTAGGCTGTCTGCCTGTAAATAATAGGGATAGTCTCTGTTTTAGCCAGAAGTGAGAGTAGCCAGATGACATAATATATTGTTCAAAATAGCTTCTTTTTCAATAGAATTATGCGAGCTTTTTGGCAAAAATAAACCAGTAAATGTCATAACCAGTTATTATACCATCCCCAAATAAATGATTGAATAATTGTTTTTATAACCATTAAATACAAAATTTTATAACCTTTTAGAGTTCTACTTTTATAAGGTAGAACTTTTCTTAGGTATAAACATAATTGTAAAAAACAAACAAGTAAATCACATACGCTGTTTAAATATGATATAAAGTCTTATGACCTCTGACCTTTTGTGCCTAAAATGTTCTTAAGTAAAACTCATTATTATAAAATTCTTGTAACCTTCATCAAAGTTCTAATAATCTCAGTTCTCTTTCAGAAACTTTAGAGAATTACACCTCTTAATTTTGAATATTTTATAGAACACTTGAGGCCAGTATTTCTCAAGCTTTTCTTGACCATGATCCACTGTAAGAAATTTATTTTATATTGTCTAAGACAACCCACACACATATATACACAATTGAAATTTACATGAATTCTCACTGACGTAAATGTTACACAGAAGAACGTTTACCTTTTCACTATAGACAGTGCGTTATGATCATTTAAATTCTATTCCATTCATTTAAATGCTAGTGACCCAGTGATTGATTTTACTACCCTCTAACGGGCCTAGAAATGCACATTTTAGAAAAAGATCTCTTTGGACAATATATGGAATTAATCTGAATTTTTTGAAGGAAAAATTAGTATATATGTTTTTGTTCAGACCCCATTCCATTTGTAAGACTAAAAATGAACTAGCACAAAAGAGTAAACTTTTCGTTTGGGAAGAGAAGTTTTGTAGGTAGGATTTAGAAAACCTAGCAGAGGTGTTTTCTTTTAGTCATGAAAAAAAGTTACAGAGGCAGGAGTCTTTGCAAATTGTTCTTGAAACAAGGAGGGACATAAAGAAATTAATCCTTGAAAAGAATGATTCCAACCTTAGTTTAAAAAGAAAAAAATGTCTTTGAATGCTATGTTCATTATAGCTAAGGAATAGATAAGATGTAAGAAGCACGTGAACTAATGTTCTGGAAAATTTTGACAGGTGTTTTAGTTGGCCTTCAGTCAATAAAGGGCTTTGCTAGAATTCTGACACAAATACTCCTATCTCCTCTTTTTTACTAAGTAGGCCTCTAAGTTGTGAGAGAATTGAGATTGGATCTTATTCTCTGTAGGGGCCTTACCACCTAGTTCAGGTAATCATGGAGCATTAATTAATAAGCCAGAATGGCTTGTGAGCTAAGTATGAATGCCTAAAAGTTAGTTTTCCCATAGAAGTTGATTAGGCTGTATTTTTTAGAAACCTTGTAGAAAGTGAAATTCAAGAAATATGTCTCTTAAGTATCAGGTTAATCAATTATTAAAACAAAGAAAGTCTAGAGTGCATTTTTAAGCTTTCACTGATGGTATTAAGAAAAATATGCCATTATTACAAAAGAGATTTTTTTTTAAATTCCATAACTTTAAATGAATTAGTAGTAATAGCAGTACAGTACTAGTATTGGTATAGGAGTTTTAATGGTAGTAACTAAAGTTTTATAGTACTTTGCAGTTTCAGAAGTAGTTTCAATAACCCTGTTGCAGGTACAAGTGCCTACTAGTGTTACACTTGTCTGCACAGACGAGGAAACAAGTTCAGAGACGTGGTGACCCCGAGTCGGCTGGATCTCAGAGGGGGGACCTTTCGGTTAAATCTCATACTCTTTGAACAATACCAGTCCATTACTCTCCAAAGCTATGTTTCTTTGTACTTGTTCTCTGTAGATCAAATATCGGGAAGAGTACGAAAAGTTCAAAGCTCTTTATAGTTTACCAAAAAGTGTTGACGATGATCCGAACACAGCTCGATGCCTCCGAGTTGGCAAGCTAAACATCGATGTAAGTAATCCCAAAGGCCTTATGAAATCAAATTGAAGTCAGATGAAACATCCACATATTAGAAACCAGGATGTTTTCTAGTAAGCAATACACATGGCACTGATTGTGCATATGTGAAGCAGCCAAGTGTTATTTTAGCCCATGCTGCTTTTTTTTTTAATTTCCCATGGTATGAATCGATAGAAAGTATTAGGAAATTCCAGGCCCTGCCCTGCTCCCAAGGGTAAGTTGCTGATTGCTGAAGCTTGGTTATGCTGACTTCTATGACGTACGGGAAAGGCACACATTACGGTGATGGCTCGCACACTTTCCTGTATAATGGGCATACTACTTTAACTCCACAGCGTCTGTACAGATCAGTTTATGAAAAGAACAAGATGAAAATCCACACTGTGCCCGACATGGTGGAGATGGTTACTGCTAAGGATACTCAGAAGAAAGTCAGTGAGATTGATTACCGCCTACACCTCCATGATTGGATTTGCCACCCCGACTTGCAAGTCAATAGCCACGTCCGGAAAGTCACAGATCAGATTAGTGAAGTAAGCCCATTGCTTATGAAAGGTTTAGTCTTCTAACTACCCAGAAAAAAAAGCAGACTTACCTGTTTCTTCACTGCAGCCTTCTTTCAGTACTGCTTTCATGCATTTCCATGGGTCTAGCTTGACTTGGGAGCTGTCTCTGCAAGCTGGGCTTTGTGTGCCAATGCTACTGTAATCCCCAAGACCTGGTTACTTGATGCTTTTTCCTTTTCATTCCACAAAGTCACCCTGTGTCCAGTGTGTGCCAATGTTTTTGTTTTCTAATTTTATTGTGGTGAAAATATACATAACAAAACATACACCATCTCAACAATTTCTACATGTACAGTTCAGTGACATCGATTGCATTCTTCAAGTCGTGCAGCCATTCTCCCTATCCTTTTCCATCCAAATCATTCTACCACCATTTAGATAAACTCACTGTCCCCTAAGCAAAAACTTATCTTTCCCCCCTCACTCCCACCTCTAATAACCACTAATAATCTTTGGTTTCTGTGTGTTTGCTTGTTAGATGTAAGTGAGATCATATAATACTTGTCCTTTTACAATTTATTTCACTCAGCATGATGTTTTCAAGGTTCATCCATGTTGTGGCACACATCAGGATTTCATTGCTCTTTATGGCTTAGTAGTATTCCATTGTGTGCATGTACCACATCTCATTTATCCATTCATCTGTTGGTGGACATTTTGGTTGTTTCCACCTTTTGACTATTGTGAAAAGTGTTGCAGTGGACCTTGGTGTGCAGGTTTCTGTATGCATTCTTGCCTTCACTTCTTCTGGGTATATACCTAGGATTGGGATTGCTGGGTCATATGGTAGTTTTATGTTTACCTTCTTGAGGAACTGCTGAACTGTCCTCCACAGTGGCTGTACCAGAGTATGTCTGTTTGTAGTGTTAAAATTATCGTTAGTTTTTTTTTAATCATTTCTATTGAAACCCTCTAGATTGTATACAAGGATGACCTTACTTGGCTGAAAGGCATCGGTTGCTATGTCTGGGACACTCCTGAAATTCTCCATGCCAAACACGCTTATGATCTGCGCAACGATGTGAGTTTGCCTTTGTTTTTTAAGAATATTTCCATCTCTATGGAGTTTGGACCCAAGGGAAGAGTATGTAAAGTAGAGACATTGTCACAGATTAGCTTGTTAAATGTGGCGTAAGTGGTGTTGAGGATTTCTGGGGTGGAGAAAGACTCTAAGGAACAGAGAGCTGCCATTTCTCAAGAATGCATACAGCATTCCTCTTAAACAATGTAGTCAAATTGTAGCATTGTCCTCTGGTAAAGAAGGTGTCCCTGGCTCTACTCCCTGCCTTTTGGATTATTTTGGGAAATACAGCACATACTTCTCGTTGTAAGAAAATCTCATTTGTTAGGAGCTTGTGATGCTATAGACAGGACATATCTGTAATGAGAAAATTTGCTAGGCAAATCCTTGATTAATGCTATAATCAAGATTTCACTAAGAAAGTTAAGCTTTCCTAGAAAAGCAGTTGCGAAGACTCTAGAAGCTCCATATGACTGTAAGCACTGATTAGTCTGATTGTTATAAAATTCAGACACATCTTGGTCTGTTGAGTGAGTGCCGATGAATGTAAATCCCTTAAGTTAAGTGTAACCAAGCCCCCGGTGAAAACCAGTAATTTTTAGTGTAATGAATGGCCCCAACACAGCGTTGTTTTCTTTCTCTTGGCAGATAACGTACAAAGCTCATGCACACAAAACAAGAAACAACTACAAATTGGTCACTGATACGCCAGTCTACGTCCAAGCTGTCAAAAGCGGGAAACAGCTAAGTGATGTAAGTGCTCACTGGGGAAGTTGCTTTGGACAGTGTTGGCTGGAAGGGAAACATAGTGGATAAGACATGTCCAGAAATAAAGACAAAGGCCACCACTTAAGCAGAAGCGGCAAAAACTAGAGGCTGGGTAGTGCCATGCTTTTTCTAAACGGGAAACCAGAGCTGATGCCCTAGAAAGTATTTAAGATGCTGCACTCATTTTCTAAAACCTGATGTGGTCAAGTGGTGCCCTGGGGTGGAATTATCAGTGGTCTAAATATATGAAATACTTTGTGTTTTAAAGCTTCAAATGTTGTTTGTTTTACCCTTATATCATGAACAACAGTTTATGTCTCACCATCTAGACTTTCTAATAAATTAGAGCTAACTATAGTAGAATAGGGATCCCTGAGTGGCACAAACGGTTGAGCGCTCAGCTACTAACCAACAGGTTGGCAGTTCAAACCCACCCAGAGGCGCCTGAGAAGAAAAAGCCTGGCGATCTGCTCCCAAAAGTTTATAGCCATTGAAAACCCTGTGGAGCGCAGTTCTACTCTGCGTCACATAGGTCACCATAAGTCAGAATGGACTCAACTGCAACTGGTTATGGTTTTGGTTATTATCGTAGAATAAGAAGCAATTAGGCTCTGAAGTTAGAGATGTAGATTGAAATCCTGCCTCTATCATATAATCTTTGAGGCTTGTGAAAAGCACTTAATCTCTCTGAGCCTCAGCATCCTTCTCTGTAAAACGGGAAAATGTATGTAAAAACACCCACAATAATGCCTGACACAGAGCAGACAAAGCAGGCAGGCTGCTCTTTTTTTAACCCCCCAGGTTAATAAATAAATATTAGATCCACTGGTGAGTTAGAACATTAAAAAACTGTTATTTTGAAATGTCTAGTGGTGAAATACCCACTCTTCCTCTTCCTACAGCTGAGCCATCTCTTCCACCTACTTCTCAGTGTGGGTGTCCACACCCTAGCTCTGAGCCTATTGGACAAGACGCAATAGTACATGAGATAAAGTTTCTAGGCAAAGTGAAGCAGCTACCATTTTTTGTTTTTTTAAAGAGAAACTTGAGTTTCCATTTACTTTGCGCTTTCTAACAATGATGACACAGTCTGAATCGGTCCACTTTTTCTCTCTCCACCCAGGCTGTCTACCACTATGACTATGTACGTAGTGTCAGAGGCAAAGTGGCTCCAACAACTAAAACTGTGGATCTGGACCGTGCGCTGCATGCGTACAAGCTCCAGAGTGAGGTGAGCTGTGAGAATTCAACAGAGTGCCTGGTAGAAATCTAGGATGGCCAGGACATTGGCATCTATAGAAGAGACCCTGACTTGGGCATCCTCTCAGGTTGACCTTGTAAATGCTGTTCTGTTCACCTGAGTTGAAAAAAAAAAAACAAAAAAACAGAGCATAGACTGTCTTCCCTCTTGGCTGGCAGGGTCCTCCCAGCAAGCAATTAAGCAAGTAATAAGCTTTTTTTGAGCGATATTTGCAGGTTAACAAAGAGGAGAGCGAATCTACTAACTCTGCTCTCAAAAAGCTTAAAATCAAGTTGGGAAAGACAGGGCATATAATCATAAAAGGCTGCTAACAATAAGAAATAAAGCTGGAATTTGCTGTTAGAATTCAGAAGAGAAAGAACCTGGACTCAACCCACATATTTAGTATCGTATTCTGTATTAGCTGAGGGTGCTGTTTGGGTCTCTTGTAATGTTACTTTCCTATCTTGAATGTTAAAAAGTAATCTGGTTTTTTAATATTTTCAATACTGTTCTTAATCCTGTTGTCCCCTGGAAGACAGAGTATTCAAGATTACAGACAGAGGCTCCTGCCTCATCTTGCCATGAATATGAGCATCGTGGCCTTTCCATAGCCTGGTGTCAAGACATTGTGTTGATGTGTATATACGGGGTGGGGGTGTTCCAAAGATGTGCTTATGTAATTATGACTGTCTCAGAGATTGATGATATCTTAAACATCACCTAAGGCTGTGATTAAGGACAGAGGTGGCATTTGGCTGCCTGTTTTCTCTACTTTTCCCAAATTCCTGCTAGATGCCATGCAGTCCACTGGGCATATGTCCAAAAGCATAGAAGAATTACTTTCTACAAGCCCCTTCACCAATTTCTCTCTTTTTCTAAAACAGTAGGTTAAGAGTAGTCTAATCCACTTCATGACTCTTAGAACTTATTTAATTTCTTCCTGAAATCAATTCAGTGAGCATAAACACATCAATTATCTGATAAAAAAAACCTAACATGCGCTAGATGTGATTTGTTTAACTCCAGTCAGTTATTAGATACCAAATGTCATTTAACTGACTCTTCCTCATTCCGGCAGAATTTGTACCGACGACCTGGCCTGCACTCCCTGCCCACTGGATATAGGCTTCCAGTCGATACTCGTCACTTCAAACACAACAAGGATATCCGATATATGAGCAGTTATGTAAGTGGACTCCTCCACATTAAGATGGAGTTGGGGGGGGAGGTGGCTAATATTCATTTATAGCCTGTTCTCGTTCCTCCCAATCACACCCTGAATGTCCAACATGACATGCCGATGGGAGTGAAGGAAGGGAGATAGCATATTTTCTAGAGGTGCTGTGAAATTGGCTTGTTTGTACAATTTAGCAGTGCCTGGGTAGCCCAGTAAGTTAGGATAGGATGTTCATGGGATTGCACCTGCATGGGCCAGTTACCTTGATTCAGGGCCCGTGGCTGCCATGACACATCTACTTCTGCTGGCCTTAACATTGAAGCATGCCAAACCATACCAAACTATTTACCAGAAAAGCAACTTTATACATGCTCTACTGATACGCGACAATAGTTGTCATCTTCCTTCTGCTGTGTTTCATAGAACATCACTTTGTGTTCCTTTTCAATGAAAGGACTTCTTTCCTAGCTGCTGGCTCCGATACTTACTCATCACTTACCCTCTGGGCCCAGTTCATAGGGAGAGATAGGCTCTCACTACTGCTAGCTTAACCCGGTGCTGGCTTTGATACGAACCTTCCCTAGTTTTTAAAAGACACGTTGGGACTTGATGGATTTACCCCGTGGGCAAAGCCTAGAGAACTTTCGGCTATCCCAGTGACCCTGTTCTCCAGAATATACTCACAAACTAGCCATCTTCTGAAGAGTAAGCGCACCCTTCCATGCTTCCCTTCAGAGGCCTGGAAATCAAACCTGCCGGCCAGGCAGACTCCAATTGACTGTAGCCCAATAATATGGTTCTCATGGCAGAGAGTCATGGGTCTAATAATCCAACATGTCATTTTATTAATCTGTCCATAAAGCCATTCATCAGACTTAAAAAGATTTTCTTCTTCTTTCTTTGCATTTCTTATTTCCTTAGCCACATTGGAGCTAAAAACACAGATTTTTCTTGCATTTTGCATAGCTGCCTACAAAGAGATTTCATCTAAGTAAAGATGAGTTGTATTCCTTTCTGCATCTGGCTTCATCAGCCAGCAAATAATTTTCAAGACTTGGATTAATACTGGAATTATATCAGTGACTTTTCCTTATACCTAAAGCTTAGAGAGCAATTTTCAAATGGAACTGTCCCCTCTTTTCTGCTGGAGAAATTTAGTGCTACTCTTTTTTTATAAATCATTGATCTCGTTCTGTCTTTGTTTTCACAGTTCAAGTACAAAGAAGTTTATGAGCACATCAAGGCAAATGGGTATACACTTGGCCCCAATGATGTTCCATTTGTCTATGTTCGGAGGGTCAACAAGGTTACCAGCGAGGTACTGTGCATGCTAATTCTGTGGGAGAAATACTGAGTTTCAAAGCCCATGGCTTTGTTTGAAAGACATTAAGAATTAATCGTATCTCAGCTGTAAACTTACACCTCAGCAAGGAGTAAGAGGGTCTTTTTGTCACCATTTTGATACTGATGTCCTTTGGCAATGTTTTTCTATAATTTGTAATACCATTGAGTCTCTAGACTCAGTTCCATGGATTATGATGCAAAATTTTTCCAAAGAAAAAAATTCCTTCTTTTGACATTTGTATTCAAAAATCCTTAATAAGGTGCATTTTATTCTGACTTATGACCCTTTGTTTCACATAAACTATTGGTTTGTATATCTGATTCTGCTAATTCACCATTTGATAGAAAGTGGATGACTTTGTGCTCAGATTCTCCATGTAAATAAAATAAGTATCCTCCTTTCTCCTAATCTCATTCATTTTCCATATCTCCGATCTTTCCTTTCATGGCACTTTATGTAAAATATCTGATTGTTGATTAGTCAATAAATGCCCTGATTATCCTACACTAAATCACTGCAATAATTTTTCCTCCATTGTAGAGACTGTACCGAGAGTTGTACCACAAACTAAAGGACAAGATTCACACAACTCCTGACACGCCTGAAATCCGCCAGGTCAAAAAGACGCAAGAAGCTGTCAGCGAGGTGGGTATTTCCTTTGCAGAAAGGGCAGACTGTGGAGCCCAGAGATGATTGTCAACCATCTGGTCTCTAATGTGTGCATTTCTGGGTATTTTTTTTTTAGTTGATCTACAAGTCAGACTTCTTCAAGATGCAGGGCCACATGATCTCCTTGCCATACACACCGCAAGTGCTCCATTGCCGCTACGTGGGAGATATCACTAGCGATGTAAGCATTTCATCGGCATCTTTCTGGTGGGGGTCACACCTTATCAAGACGCAGGCTCACTTTTAGCATTTAAGCAGACCAGTGCTCTTTGAACACCTTTTTCCACTGAGTACTTCCAAATTGGGTGCACATCTTGGGGATAAAATAGTTCAGCAACAAAAAAACCAGTTACCATGGAGCCAATTCCTACTCATAGCGACCCCAGTGCATCAGAGTAGAACCATGATCCATGGGGTTTTCAGTGGCTGCTTTTTTAGAAGAAGATTGCCAGGCCTTTCTTCCAAGGTGCCTCTGGGTGGATGCGAGCTGCCAACCTTTTGGTTACCAGCCAAGCCTATTAACCATTTGCACCACCCAGGGATCCAGCATGGAAAACAGAACCCCACATGTCACAAGCTATGGAAATAGCAATAAGAGGACCAGCTGGGAAATAACAGAATCTCTGACCACTGTTCTATATTCAACACTGAATCATTGCCAGCTCCTTGCTCTCTAATTGGCCTCTGTACCACATCATGTTTAGTATCTTTTTCCTTTTCATCCCTAACCCCAGCCCCTCTAGCAACTTCCTACTGCTGTCTTTTCTTAATCCCCCTTGGATGATTTCTTCTAAAACACCCCTCAATTCACTCTGTAGTTTTTCTCCCATCAATATAATAATAAAATATTAGCAGTGTTCTCTCCTCAGTGCAGGGTTAGAGACTTAAATGGAAAAACACTATGATTTATTTGGGGGCAAATGAACGAAGGTGGTGAGACTTGGACTTGCTTACTTTGGACACATCATCAGGAAAGACCAATCTCTAGACAAGGACATCATTGTTGGTAAAATAGAGGGTCAGTGAAAAGGAAGAAAACATTCAGTGATGTAGATTGACACAATAGCCAAAGCAATGGACTCGAACATTGCAACAGTAATGAAGATGGCACAGGGCTGGGCAGCGTTTTGTTCTAACAACAATAAACTAAGAATACAAGGTGGACTTGTTGAACCAAAATGAAAGATAAATCATTTTTAAAAGTATCACTACTCTTTTTTTTCTTGATTTACTTTTGCTCATGACCAGTCATACTTCTGTTTTTGCCCCACAGATTAAATACAAAGAGGACTTGCAGGTCTTAAGGGGCCTGGGCTGCTTCCTGTACGACACTCCCGACATGGTCCGTTCCCGGCACCTGCGGAAGCTGTGGGTGAGTGTACATCTTCAGAGCCCGCAGTACCTCTACGGTGACCCATACACCCCATCACCAGCTGCAGAGTGCTTGGCAAGAAGACTCTGTACCTGCAGTTGCTTTAGGGGAGCACCTCCCATTAACCCTCCTGAGCTGATCATGACCCAGTCAAGATGATCTGTGCTTCCTGTAAAAGGAATAAGTTTAATTAAATGACAGTTGCTTTTGTTGCTGCCTGGAAAGACACCCAGGACACAGGGAGGGTTGCTCAGCATGTACACGCCAACCATTTGAAAGAAAATATGTGCCCATGAGGCACAATCACCTAAATGACTCATCATCTTCTATTTCTATTATTGTTGTTGTTGTTTTTAGTCTAATTACGTGTACACTGATAAAGCAAGAAAGATGCGCGACAAATACAAAGTGGTGCTTGACACACCAGAATACAGAAAAGTGCAGGAACTGAAGACACATCTGAGTGAGGTAAGGACGCTTTACCTGCCACGACAAGTGAGCCGACTTGACTAAGACAGGCTGAATTACCCAAAAAAAGGTTTTTCATTCCTCTAGTCATCATTTCTCAAGCAACTACAGCAAGTGATATATCTCCCCTCTGCCCTAAACTGGTGTGGTCACCATATCTAAGCAAGTCAACTGGCCCCTCGTTGCCTCAGTTTACCTATTTTGTCCCCTTCTAGCAAAATGAGGATACTGATACTTGTCTTACCCATGACTAGGGTTGCTGAGAGGTTACATGATTCATGATTTTATAGATTAGAAAACCCCTCTGCCCTACGCTATTGTAGTCTCCAAACTGAATTTCTTATTTTAAAACTCTCTCATAAAGCCCTGCTATCAGGAACCCTAATCATGGCAGTGATTAGAAAGTCTTCAATGGCTCCCTGCTGCCCACTCAGTAAATCTGAAACTACTTACCGTAGTTTCATTTTCATCTGCCCACCAGGCACTGAGGCCTCACGTCTCTTCTCCAGTTACAAAGAAAAAAAAAGTTTGGTAACTTACAGTGCTTATTCTCATCTCTAAGATACTTTTACTTCTCGTGGCTGTCTGGGTTTAGAATTGCCTGAGACTCTAATTCTCTTCTTCCATTTCCTGTTGGGATTTTGTACGTATTGTACATCAATACCAACTTCCACATTAGGGAAGAGAATGGATATTTTTTAGTAGTGGAGTTTCCTCCACACTTGCCTGACCATAAGAATGACCTGGGCTTGATAATATGTTAAGCCAAGCCACTCCCCTGGATTTAGAAGATCTGGGGTAGGGCCTACGAATCTGTTTATAGTAAAGACCCAGGAGATTTTTAGAAACAGGAATGTTTGAAAAACATCAACTTCATAAAAAGTTGGATGGTGAAGAGAAGTTCAGGGTATTGACTTTTGAATTGTCTTTGAATTGTATTGGTTCTTGACATACGTACATTTACAGTATTTTGTCGTATATTGAAGCAGGGATATTGTCCCAAGAAGCATAGACAATGCATACCTAAGTAAAGGAGAAATGTGGTATAAAGAGAATTACAGAAATTGCGTGGAAGAGTTGGATTTTAGTCCTAGGTTTACTTTTAATTAGCTGTGTGACCTTGTATAATTCACAACTTCAGCACTTGAATTTCCTGAGCTAGAGAATTGGACTAGATGAGGATTTGGGCTCCTTTCAACTATAGTATTCTATGAGTTTGTTGATTTGGTTTATTAAAAATTTAGCCTAGAAGAAACATTAAATTTTCATTCAGTTTACCTCCTTTCTTTCAATAGTAACACCAAAAACAGCCCCTAGAAGATGAGCCACATTTTCTTTTAACTTTTATATAATTTATATTTAGAGAATGAATGTGTACACATATATGTATATTTGTGATATTTATTTTTTTACATTTCATCTGTTCCATTGGCATTTAAATCTATGATTAGGATTTATTTGTGCTCCATTTGTTCTTTTAGTTTGCCTCATTATATTAAATTCCCTTAACATTTATTAGGAGACAACAATTTTTCAGTCCCTTTGTCTAAGCACTATGTGATGAAAGGATGATAGAGATGAGACCCAGCATTTCATGGGCAACAGTATGGGAGAAGAGACAGACATCAATATGATGCATGATATATTACCAAAATAATTAAGAAAATATGGATTCTAGGAGTTTCCCAAGCAGATAAGAGGGAGAAGAACATTCTAAACAGAAAAGACAGTATGTAAAAATAGCCATAATGAGTTCTTGAAACTGGGAATAGTTTCAAATAGCACATGGGGAACGTGGAGGAATGTTGGGAAATGAGGCAAGAAGCCTAGATAGGAGCCAAGTTTTGAAGACTCATGGGTGCTATATTAATAATCTTGGACTTGATGAAAAATCGTAGAAGAATTACTTTTAGACAGGGTAGATATGAGTATTAAGGTCAGATGAGATCTGAGCTTTAAAAAATTTCTCACTCAGACTTGTGGAAGATGAATGAGTCATGTAGAACAGTCTCATGTGGAACTGGGAAGTTGGTTTAAGAGGCTCTTATGGATGTGTAGGGAAAAAAAAAAAAGACAGGAAGCTGAACTAGGCAGTGGCAGTAGGAAATAAGAAAATGGAACATATTAAAAGGATATCATGAAGTGAGAAGCCCAGGATTTGTGGCCATTTTGATGTGGAATTTGAGGGAAAAGGAGTCTAGAATGACTCTTCAAATTTCTGGCCTGGGTGACTGGAAGATCAAGAAGCCATTTAGCAAAATAGATAAAATAGGGGGAGCAGCAGGTGGGAATGGGGAGTAGTATGACGACTTCAATATTGAGCATGATGAATCACCCAAGTTCAGAAAGTTGTTGAAAATTTGGGTCTAGAGCTCAAGAGAGATTTGACATACAGATCTGGAAGTCGTCAATCTGAAAGTGATGGTTATGGTTGAGATCACCCATATGTATGAGGTGAAAGGAACCAAGCCCTAAACCCTAGGTAATAGCAGCATTTTGGGGAAGAGGAGAGGCCACAGAATAGTAGAGGAAGACCAAGCAGTGTCCAGAAAGATCGGAGGCCTCGTAGAGGAGAGTGGTGGAAGGAGAGGCAGAGAAGGCAGTTTCAGAAAGGAAACTGCTGAGCCGTATTAGTTGCTATGGAGAGATGTTCTCCAGATTTGCCACTCGTAAAGCTTTTGGTAGCCTTGACAAGAGTGACTTCACTGGAGTCACGGGGTGGAAGCCAAACTGTCACCCTGAGAAAGTAATCAAAAGAGATGAAAAGGAGAAAGAAACATAGAATGCTTGGCTGTGCAAGGAAGGAATGAGGCCATTGACTAGAGATGAAGAATTAATGGGGAAGAACTTGAGCTTGTTGTCAGATAAAGGGAGAAAGCTGGAAGAACAGGAAGAATTGGAGATATGGAGGGGAAGAGGATAATCGCTGGAACAGAGTCCAAAAAGAGATAGGCAAGAATGGGACCAAGAGCACAGCAGGAGGCTTGAATCCTGGACAGGCCATAGAATGTCCGTCTTTCAATAGAAAGAGAAAAAAATGTAAAATGAAGACCAGAGAGGTAAATGAATTATTGGCTTATTAGGAAGAAACTGTGATTGTTGCAGTGGGAAGGTTCTGCTTTTTCTATGAAGTAAGCAATAAAGGCATCTGCAGAGAACATAACATGACTATAAAGCAGAAATGATGGTGATGAATTGTTTTATGTTCAGCTGGTATACAGAGCTTCAGGCAACAAGCAAAAGTCAATCTTTACTTCAGTTCCTGATACTCCTGATCTTTTAAGAGCCAAGAGAGGGCAGAAGCTTCAGAGTCAGGTAAGATCATTTACTAATGAAGACTCATAAACCTGCCACACTGGTGTCATGTGTGTGCCTGACTACTCCTGGTCAGTAGAAGATTCTCACACTTGTTTGTCCTTGATGCAGCCTCATGCACATTAACACTGCACTTAATGAAGCTGTTTTCTTTGGGGCCATCTTAACCATGGCTACGCTTTACATGAGCAGGTGATGTTTTCTAAGTGCTATACAAATTAGTCATTGGATGAGCCGTCTGTGGACTCCAGGTAGTGAAAAGTAATTGCTTACTACATTTCATGTTGTTGTTGTTAGGTGCCATTGAGTTGGTTCCAACTCATAGCAACCCTATGTATAACAGAACAAAACACTGCCAGGTTCTGTGCCATCCTCACAATCATTGCTGTATTTCAGCCCATTGTTGCAGCCACTGTGTCAATCCATCTTGTTGACCCTCTACTTTACCAAGCATGATATCCTTCTCCAGGGACTGGTCCCACCTGATAACATGTCCAAAATATGTGAGACAAAGTCTCACCACCCTCACTTTTAAGGAGAATTCTGGCTTTACTTTTTCCAAGACAGATTTGTTCATTCTTCTGGCAGTCCATGGTATATTCAATATTCTTTGCCAACACCATAATTCAAAGGCATCAGTTCTTCTTTGGTCTTCCTTATTGTTCAGCTTTCACAAGCACATGAGGTGATTGAAAATACCATGGCTTGAGTCAGGTGCACCTTAGTCCTCAAAGTGACATCTTTGCTTTTTAACACTTTAAAGAGGTCTTTTGTAGCAGATTTGCCAGATGCAATACATCGTTTGATTTCTTGACTGCTGCTTCCATGGGTGTTGATTGAGGATCCAGTGAAATGAAATCCTTGACAACTTCAATCTTTTTTCCTTTTATCATGGTCTTGCTTATTGGTCCAGTTGTGAAGATTTTTGTTTTCTGTATGTTGAGGTATAATCCATACTGAAAGTTGTAGTCTTTGATCTTCATCAGTAAGTACTTCAAGTCCTCTTCACTTTCAGCAAGCAAGGTTGTGTCTTCTGCATACATTCCATACAAAAAAAAAAAATATCAAACCCGTTGCCATCAAGTCGATTCCAACTCATAGTGACCCTATAAGACAGAGTAGAACTTTTCAAGGAGTGGCTGATAGACTGGAACTGCCAACCTTTTGGTTAGCAGCTGACTCTTAACCACTGTGCCACCGGCCTCCATACATTCCATAGAACTTGTTTATTGTCCACGGACAAACGAAACCACATTTCATGTATTCAAGCAAAAATTAAAAAGTACTATGTTGAGGGCTCTTTAAGAACTGTCTAGTTCTTCTGTCACCATTTTTTATCACGTGGCTTTAGACTGGCCCATACTCACCAGTAGGAATATTGATTAACTGGAGTGTGTATATGTGTTTCCAAATGTGAGATACACAGAGAGAAAAATGAACAGGAGCACATATATGAAAAAGAAAAAAACAACAAAAACAGAACAACAAGCAAACCCCCCTCCACCCCCACTAAAGGGCTAGAAATGAATGAAGAGGACTGAATACTAAATGTTTCATCTCTATACCATCTCATGGCCACTTTCTGATTATTTAGTATCTGTATGTTGAACTTGCCACCAAAGAGAGACCCCATCATCACGCTGGCAACCAGACCACAGCCTTGAAGCATGCTAAAGACGTGAAGGATATGGTCAGCGAGGTAAGGTGGGAATTCAGTAATAAGGCACTGGTTTAAAGAAAAAAATCCTTTGTAAAGACCTTCGCCTACTTCCTCTGATTGGAGAACCCATTACTATAAACTGTGCTCAGCATTAACAAAATACAGAAGGCAAAGCTGTTCTTTTCAAGGATATGGTATATTGTGTTCCTCAGGGGATACTGTGACTGGGTTGTGAGTTGGGAGGGATGAAAAAGCTTGAACTTAAGTTTGTCTCTTCCATTTGATTCCTTAGAAAAAGTACAAGATTCAGTATGAGAAGATGAAGGACAAGTACACCCCAGTTCCAGATACGCCAATCCTCATCAGAGCCAAGAAGGCTTACTGGAATGCCAGTGATGTATGCATCTCTTCCTTCTTTCTTCTTATGATAGGTTGATGTACCTAAGAAACACAAGATGTTACAGTCATATCCATAGTACAAAGTCATGTCCCACAACACGGATCAGGGAAAACAAACAAATAATACTAGTCAGGCAAAGTAGCTAAGGACAGTGCTGAGAGATGCTAAAAGCTTGTTGTTCTTCTCATTGCTCTTCTGTGCAAAATTATGATCCTTGATCCTTATTTATAATTCGTTGGAAGCATTTCCTAGGGCTTCTTGTTGACTAATTGTTAGTTATCCATAAAATCATGGGCTTGGAGTCAGTCAAACATGGATTCAAATCCTGGTGCTGTCACTTGCCTGCTGTATATAATTTACCTCTATATAATTTTCCTAAGACTTTGGTTTCTCAGATCTGTAATGAATAATAATTGTGATAATTAAATTAGACTAAAGAAGATAACGTATATGCCATTACTAGCACAGTGTGAAGCTCATAGTTGACACTCAGAAAATGTTTGTTCCCTGTCTTCTCTTCATTGCCTAGATACAGATCATGTGAATGACATATTAGTTAGAATTAGGGTGGGCAGACTTTCATTTCCTGTACCACATGATCAAGGTAAAGGCTGCCTCTTAATGGCAATTAGATTTCCCATTAATGAAGATATGGAATTAGTCAAGGGTAGATGGCCAGTCCTTACCAGTTTTGTGTCTCAGAGCCCAACTCCAAATCCATGGTACCCATTACCAGAACCAGAATCCCTAGAGAAGGATTGCACATATTGGGATTTAAACCGAGCCAAAAGCTCAAACCAACCCCATAGCCCCTCAGTTTAACAACACAGCTCTAAAATCCAAAGCATCTTAAGGTCATTGCAGTGATCCCTAAGCATAAATGTGAGAGGATACAGCAAATTTGAGCAATATCTCAGTTCTGTGATTTTGTCTGAAGCTGTCATTTGGAGCTGAGGAGATCATGCTAGTTGAAAAGAAGGGAATGCCACTTAATGTTTAAAATATAAGCTGAGATATACTTAATGTGTACTGGGTTTCTGTTTGGGGTGATGAAATTTTTTTTTTGAAAGTGGATAGTGGTGACAGTTGCACAGCATGACAAACATGATTAATGTCACTGGATTGTACACTTAAGACTGGTTGAAACAACACATTTTTTGTGATATATATTTTACAATAATTTTTTAAAAAATTAAAAACCACATTGAATAAACAAAAAGCCACACTCACACATACACATACACTGAGAAAATTATATGTCTTCAAAATTATCCCCTAAGATATTTTTAGTCTTCTGGTGGCATCCCCATCTTTATTGCTTCAAAGTTACTGCTGGATATTAATTTGAACCAAACTTAATCTGTGTGACCACATTACAAGGGTGGCCACACAGTGAAATTTGCCCTGTTGGGCAGCCTCATCCTGGCTTTGTCAGTGCCTATACTGATGATCTTAATCTTTAAAATAGTCCAGTGTAACAAGGATTGTATCTGACATTTAGTTTGGCTTATCTGTTGTGGCTTTCCTCACATGTAGAGGTAAATTATTTATGGGATTATCTATCTGAAAAACAAAGTAACAAAGTCAAAGAAAAGGTATCTTTCATTATGTCTTTACTCAGCTATCCAAAAAGAAAATCTTTTGTCTGCTCAGAGAAGTACCCATCTTACGCAGATAGGATGAATCTGTCATGATATTCTTAGGTTAAAGTCAGAACTGTCTTCTCTTGCATATTAAAAAGATTAAGATTATAATAAAATAAAATTTCAGGACTGCTTTGTGGAGAGGGCATTTTAATACGAGGAGTTAGAAGCCAAATCTTTCTCCTCTCTCCATGCACAATAATCATGTCTTGGGCTCAATGAGGTTATATTTGTTTCTCCACCCAAATGAGCCTTTTGTTTGTTTGTTTTACATTTAAATAAAAATTTTATTTTAAATAGTTTTAGATTTACAGAAAAGTTGCAAAGATAGTACAGAGAGTTCTTGTATGCTCCACACCCAGTTTCTCCCATTGTTAACAGCTTACCTTACCATGGTTCTTTTGTCACAAATAATGAACCAATGTTGTTTCTACATTATCATTAACTAAATTTCATACTTTATTTAGATTTCACTCATTTTTCCCTAATTCCTTTTTTCTCTCCCAGGATCTGAAATGAGGTTTTAAATCTCTCTTGAATTTATTCATGGGGAAACCTAAGAGAGAGAGCTCGAGAGAGTTCAAGCTTAAAAGAGCTCAATTATCTGGGTTGGTAGTTTTTTATAATCCATGTGCTTTTTCTCTTTCCAGCTACGCTACAAAGAAACATTTGAAAAGACCAAAGGGAAATACCACACTGTGAAGGATGCTCTGGACATTGTTTATCATCGCAAAGTCACAGATGACGTCAGTAAAGTACGTCCCTAGACATTTCTATTTGTGTTGGCTAAATAACCCACTATCATTTCTTTTTAGCATCTTCCCATTTCTAAAATGTCTGGATAGAAATAGACTTTTTTATATTAACTTTGGGCAAGCATTTATAGCTGCCGTTGTATTTTTACCACAGGTGAAGTACAAGGAGAACTACATGAGCCAGTTGGGAATTTGGAGATCCATTCCTGATCACCCAGAGCACTTCCACCACCGGGCAGTCACCGATGCCATCAGTGATGTGAGTCTTGAAATCTTCTACATTTACATATAAATTCATATCCCCATATGAGTTATGAAATCAAACACTACATAAAAACTAAACACTTAACTAGTTTTAGATCTTGTGTATGGATGTTTAAATCATAAAACTCAGTTACTAAATAAGTGAACTACTTGGGTGAAGAAAAATATAGTCAAACTTACAAACCTAATTTTTCTTCTAAATGTATGATATCATATTACATGGTTGGAAATTATATCACTCATCTAGGAAATAGCCTATTTTCAATCAATTGAAGAGAAAATTTATGAAGCAATTAAGGCACATAACAATGCTCATTTAGAAAGAAATTTCAGCTTTCTGTATGAAAATACAGCTGCCAAACTAATGATATACTGTCTAGGAAAGGATGCCTGTTAAATGTGAATTGCTTTAACTAGTATTAAAAATAAAAAGTTCTGTATACTATATAACAATATACGATAAAATGAGCAGGAATTGGTATTACTGGAAACTACTTGTAAGTAATTGTTTTAATACTTTATCATTCCATATACTTGATAGGTCAGAGCTACTATTTGTCCCACTTGTATAGACCCTAATCTACTACTATTTGGAGATAGGTTTTTAAAACTCTCCTTCATCATGTTCTTCTTCTACCAGGTAAAATATAAAGAAGATTTGACCTGGCTGAAGGGCATTGGTTGCTATGCCTATGATACCCCTGACTTTAATCTGGCTGAAAACAACAAGATTCTCTACAGCAAGGTAAATCTACTCAAGGAGAATGGTCACATCCATTCAACATATACTTTTACCCACAGAAAATATTAGCACTGAGGAAATAGCCTTTCATATTTTCATCTCTGTCCTTGCTTCTAGACCCTATGGTTGGAGTGAATACTCAATTGCTCACTCTCCTTAGAAATTTCTTTAGTACTAACCTTGTTGACTATCATCATTTATTTGAATTTAATGTTATGTCAGTACAGCTCCACATAGCTCTTCCAGAATTCCCTCTCTACTTCTATGCCACTGGGCAATTTTACCCTGTTAGAGCTGATAAGGTAGCAAACAAAAAGTGCAGTTGTTTTGTTCCACAAACTTGGTGTGTGACTTGAGGCAAATCGCTTAATTTTTATGGGCCTCAATAAAGCAGTTGGATTAGCTTCCTTTGAGCTCTAAAACAGGGGTCAGCAATCTTTTTCTGGAAAGGACAAGATAGAAAATATTTCACGCTTTGCGGGCCACATTCGGTCTATCGCACATTCTTTGTTTGTGTTTTACATCCCTTTAAAGTTGTAAAAACCATTCTTAGCTCATGGGACTGTTTAAAAACAGATGGGAGGCTGAATTTGGCCTGTGGGTCATTATTAGCCAACACTTGCTCTGAAACATTATGATTATCTGATTAATTACTGAAAACTATATTCAAATTAATGAACTAAAAACTTTTTTCAAGTGTATACTACAATACCCTCAGAGTAAAAACATGATCATTATAATAATAGAAACAAAGAAGAAATTGATTAGGATTTTTGCCTAATAAAGAAAATAGATGTTTGACATCTATTCAATGGAGGTGTTTTCTGGTATACATATATTGAGGCCAGTTTTCAAGATATCCAGGTGAGTCTACCCTTCACAGCCTTGGAAGACAAGAGTAAGAACTTATCAAATACTTGTTAGCTCTATGAATTAATTAATTAACACAATCATATGATAAAATAAATGGCATGTCTCATTCTTAAGATAATCACAACCTACAAAATAACCACTTTCTATTTTCTCTAGTATAAGTATAAAGAGGTATTTGAAAGGACGAAGTCAGATTTCAATTATGTTGCCGACTGTCCAATCAATAGGCATTTCAAGTACGCAACTCAGTTGATGAATGAGGTACGTATAACCTGATCCAGTTAAGCCTATATAAAATGACAAGAAATCCATTCTAAGGGTTGATTCACTTAGATTTGGAGAGACTTTGTGATGTCGCCATCCAATGGGCTCTGCAAAAACCATGAATAAGAACAAGTGAAGGGACCTTCCAGTGCAGTGTGAGAGCCCCACCCCCATCAGCACCTTTGTTTGCACTGACATAGGGCATCATGGCTCTGTCAGTGATGACACCAAGGAGGTCCTGAACTCCTTAAATATAATATTGTAAAGAGTTGGGAGGCCCACAAGTTCAAGGTTATTTTAATATTTCCTTCCAAGGCCAGGAAATGGTAGTGGTTGGTTGAGCCACCCGTAAGGGGATGGCTATGATTCATGCATTCTTATCCATTGCCATTGTTACTCCCCCACACATTGGTACAGAAAAGTATCCATTTTGCACCCAAAATTTTCTTTTATATTCTACCCAGTTTTTTCTGGAACCATCTTTTCAATAATTAAATTTAGCTCAAGATCACTGAAATACTCAAACTATGAATTTACTTATATTTGAATGGTTTTATATTTAATTTTGTATTTTCCAAGGATTTATATAAGATCAAAAGCAATGTTAGAAAATTAGCAAATTGTATCTAAAGTGAAAATGTAGTCAATGGTATGTTTGCTTAAGCATATGACTTTGTTGTTGTTTAATTTGATTTAGTTCATTTCCATTAGATTCCCAGACTGGACGACGCCAAAGAATCACTGTCAATGACTTCCTAGGAGGACAGTCTTGATATATTTTGTTTCTATTTTTCTCTTTCTCAAAAGACTTCCAGGTCTCTTTTATAATCAAGTAAATTAACTAGACTTAGGAGACTCTTAGAATTTGTCCAAGGATGTTTTAGCATCAGGTTTTTGATTCTCATAGCCTTAGATAGCAAGCCTGTAGCATATCTGTAGCTTATTTTAAATCCAATGTAAGATGCCATAAAATCTAACTTAGCTTCTGGCATTGTACGTAAAGATGGAAAATATTTAAACACAGGTTCTCTAATTTCAATGTCCTAAAGCAGATATAGCCCAACCCCGGCTTTCTCCAGGTGTTCATCCTTTGCCTGACTTTCTTTGCCTCCCTGTTTTTATTATTCTGAATGCTTTGGGAGCTCCTTTCTAGAAATGACATGGTTCTGGCTCTCTGGAGGGTTCATTTTGGGACATTTTTGTGTACTCTTAAAGTTGTACTGTTGCTATAATTTGATATGATGTTTGAGCAGAAAAAATACAGAGCTGATTACGAGCAGCGGAAAGATAAATACCACCTGGTGGTCGATGAGCCTAGACATCTGCTGGCTAAGACCGCAGGGGAACAGATCAGCCAGGTACTGTGTTGGAACTGGCTGGACAGCCCAGGCAGGACTGTGCTCGGGTGTCTCACGAGATGTCGTCCCGTCTGCTGCAAGGATGTCATAGGTTCTGCCTATGATATTGGACTGTTCTGTTTCAAAGTTCTCTGTCTAGCCACCCAAAAAGCCTGTGAGCTATTTGAGTGTGCCAGTCCATGCTCTGTGTCCTCATTTGTGCTGTGGTGAAGATGAAAAGAAAGGCAGATTTGACAACTACAATTTTCCCCATGCCAACTTACATTTTGAGTTGCAAAAGCAAAAACAAAGAAACAAATTAATGAAAGGAAAGAGACAGAACTGCTTACGTATTTTTTTATTCCTATGATGTCTTCTTTTCTATAAAGCAGTTTTGGTGGTAACATAAGTGAGACTTAGCTGTATCATTCCCCACTGGCAAGGACTATGAATGGTTAACTGTAAGTATTGCAGTCATTCTGCTTGGCATATAATATATTTGGTGTCTTCACCCACAAGTATATGTGAGGACAGAAAGTATGTCTGCCTACATCTCTTCACTCAGAGGTGATTGGGATATAGAGCCATGTTCTTTTTTGTCTTCATAAGTCTCTTTTGTGCTTCACTGCTCTTTGCATGGACAGAAAAAATATAAATCTAGTGCCAAGATGCTTCTGCGACATGGATGTAATGAAATTCTGCGCCCAGATATGTTGACTGCCCTCTACAATACACACATGTGGAGCCAGGTAATGCCTGATGTGATGTGAAGAAGGTGGCTTAGAAACCTTTGGGTGCATTCACTTTTATGGTTCATTGACTTCCTCTCCCTGCCCTGCTCCATGCTGGTCTCATATGATAAAGCTGCATAAATATTCACTCCTTGTAAGTGAACTCTGGATGTGGCCAGGTGTGATGATGCTACAGTCATCACCTGTACAGTGGCAGGGGACCACCGCTCGACACTGTTGGAATCCTAGTAAGATTAACTGAGATGCTTTCAAATTATACTTCCAAATTGGCGTAACATTAATTTATATTTTTTCAGTAATTGCCTCAAAGAAATAGATTCCTTAGAGATTGCAGATATTAAGTAAATGCAACAGCATTTAGAAGGTCTGAATATTTAATGTTTTCATCTAATTTTTCCATTGTTTGATTATCACAATGGTACCATTTGGGAGGGATGAGGATTACAGTACATCTCTTTGAATATTATGCATATTCATGGCCTTTCTTGAGTTTGATGCTGAAATTGCTAGGTTCCTAAAGGAAACTTCCCAGCATATCTATTCTTGTTCACACTTGTAACATTGCTGTTACGAATGCCTTCTTCCTGCAAGGCCGATTGAAGCACACACTGCTTCCTTTCCATCATAGGATGAAATGTAAATCTGTAACAGCAACAAACGGTGATAATTGGTTAACTACCAGATACACTATTATTAAAATACCATTGTTCTCAGATTAAAAAAAAAATTAATCAATAATTTACACTAGCAACTTGTTTCGTCATTTTAGTTTGTCATCAAATCAACACGTAAAATAAGGGGGGAGGGAGGAGCTCTGCCTGTGAACATTTTGCTGGCCTGAACTTTTTCTTTTCTCTGATATGATCATCAAATAGTTGTGCATGAAATTTTGTTGGCTCCTTGTATCTGTACTGCTTGAAACAGCTTACGTGCATGAAAAAAGATTTTGTGATCTTGAAATGACAAAAACAAGTGCAATTTAACATACGATACATTCTTCAAACTCATTCTTCTGTACTCATTTTTTACACCTGTTTAATCTTTGGTGTGAGAAAATACTTTAAAAGATCATACATACTTGATGCAATAGTTTACAAGAGAATCAGTACTGGTCAGAGTCCAGAGAACAACGTTCTAGTTCTGCTTCTGAGATTCATTTGACGTATGTGCCTTTGGTTCAGTCTCTTAACTTCTCTGAGCCTCAGTGTCCACGTGTATAACACACTTTAAAATGTATAAGATGATATTTTAACATGTCATTGTTTTCTTTGATTATTTGCTCACTGCATTATACCATTGCTATTGAATACATATTTATGTTAAATATTTCGAGTTAGGATTTAAAGAAAATCCTACCACGACACCATCCCCTACATCTGTAACATATAATAATCCTATTATTTGCTATGGAAACCCTGGTGGTGTAGTGGTTAAGAGCTACGGCTGCTAACCAAAAAGTCAACAGTTCAAATCCACCAGCTGCTCCTTGGAAACCCTATGGGGCAGTTCTACTCTGTCCTGTAGGGTCACTATGAGTTGGGATCGACTCGATGGCAACAGGTACTATTTACTATACATACATAATTTTCTCTCAAGAAGAAAATTTGATTCTTTAAAGCCCTCTATTCTATTTCTTATCATTAACTCTTCCTTCTCTTTAAAATTTAGATCAAGTACAGGAAAAAATATGAAAAATCAAAAGACAAATTCACCTCAGTTGTGGACACTCCAGAACACCTGCGAACTACAAAAGTCAACAAACAAATCAGTGATGTGAGTACAAGAAACACTGAATGGATTCTCAAACTCAGGGGACATTTGCAAAAGTGTTGAGGAAGGGTATTTTAGATTATCACAGTGCCTGGATCACTCTACTGCTGTTTAGCAGGAGGAAGTTAGGGGGGCTAAATGTCCTTCTATGCACAGGATTCTTCTTTCATAAGAAAGAATTGTTCCAACCAAATTGGCAGACACCTCAGTGAAGAAACTCTGGGGCCTTAGCAGAGAGCATGAAAGCACCTGTTGAGTACATAGAATTCTCTTTTCTTTATACTTGCTTTAAAAAAAAAAAATTGCACTTACATTGTAAATGGAGAAACATAACGTTGTGTCTTTCTACTTTTTAATCTCCTTCAGATACTTTATAAACTGGAATACAACAAGGCCAAACCCAGAGGCTATATCACAATCCATGACACCCCCATGTTGCTGCACGTCCGCAAGGTTAAGGATGAAGTCAGTGATGTAAGTCTCTCTCATCTTGTCCTTTTTTTAATATAACAAATCCTGGTCCAGTTATCTATTGCTGCATAATAGCCACCCTAAAGTTTAGTGGCTTAAAACAGCAATCATCATATTTTGTTCATGAGTCGACTGGACACAGCCAAGTGGTTCTTCTACTCCACATGATGTTAGTCGGCATCTGAGGCTCAGTTGGGCCAGGAAATCCAAGATAGCTCACTCACATGGTTCACTGTTGATGGCTGTTGGCTGGGAACTCGGCTAGGGTATAGATGGGAACCTCTGCATGTGGCTTCTCCACGTGGCTTGGACATATCACAGCATAGTGGCTGGGTTCCAAGAGGAAGGAAGTAGAAGCTTCTAGGCCGGTTAAGGGCTATTCCTAGAACTAACACAGTGCCACTTTTCCCCTATTCCGCTGGCCACAGTGCCCACCCAGAATCAAGGAGTGAAGAGACAAGTACCACTTGTTGATAGACATTGATGTGGGCAAGGTCACACTGAAGAAAAGCATGTGGAATGGGAGATATTGTTGAAGTCATTTTGGAAATGCAGTATTCCACAAACCCTATTATCACTCTATAAGTTTATCTTGACTAAGAGGAACAAACCAGCTATTTGCTATATTCTAGTAATCTAAATTCAGGAAGAAATTATATTCATACATAGTCAGATAAATAGCTTGAGTCTGTGATTTAAATCTATCATCATTTTAGTTGGGGAAAAAAAAAACAGATTCAATTTTTAAAAGAACTCCATGGGTACGTGAGCTACTGTGCAACAGAAAGAATAATAAAAGCAACGGTGAATAACTTATCCCTATCCCAGAGCCTTGACTGTGGCTGGTGTTCAGGAATTCTTCAATAGCTGAATAAATATGTTCATACTCTTGACACTCAGTCACCCTGAAAAATGTTAAGTACATTCAGTGAACTGTTTAAGAAGACAGAAATGTATAAAATTTTAGAAATATAATGTTAAAATAATCGTTGCCACTTAAATATGAACATCAAGTTTTCATAAGCATCTATGAGGTTGATCCGTTACATGTAATAACTCACTCCTTATCATTGCAAAAAATGATACCCCCATCTCCTTGAACTTTGCTGATTATAAGACTAACCTGGAGTATTGATGAAAATGTCAACTTCTAGGCCTTTCCCCTAAAGATTGAATTGTGTCCCCCAAAAATATGTCTTATGAATCCTAACCTATATGCCTGTAGTTATAATCCCATTCTGGAGTGAGTTATCTGTTATATTAATGAGGCAGGATTAGCGTAGGGTGTGTTTTGAGTCAATCTCTTACAAGATATAAAACGAGCAAGCAGAGATGGGGGAAGATAGATGCTAAGCCACATGGAGATCTCCAAGACTCCAGGAAACAGAAGCTAAAGAGTCGAGGACCTTTCCCCAGAGCCAAGAGAGAAAGCCTTCCCCTAGAGCCAGCACCCTGACTTCGGACTTCTAGCCTCCTAAACTGTGAGAACATGAATTTCTGTTTGATAAAACCACCCATTTGTGGTTTTTTTGTTATAGCTAGATAACTAAGACACTACGTCTGTGGTGAAGCCCAAAAAACTGTGATTCTTATGATCAGGCAAGTTTAGTAAACACTGCTATAGCTCCTTTAGAACAGTTTTACTTCAGCTTTTAACCATATTAAAACAGGATCCTTCTGCAACAATTAGTGAGAAGGCCCAGACTTGGCCACAAGGCCCTGAAATTTAAGAGGAGCAAAGGTGGGTGAAACTAGAAACCCCAGACCCAGGATGGGGAAACTGCCTTTCTCCTTGGGCCTGCAGAGGCTATTCATTCCCCATTCTCGTACCTCTCATCGAAACCCACACATGCCAAACCTTGCTAGATACAGCTCTAGCAATGACAATAGTGATGACTGCATCCATCAGTTCATTCATTCATCAAATATTTATTGAGATCCCATGTGTCTGAAATTAGGAATGAGATAATGAATGATACACATCTTTGCCCTCGACAGGTTCAATTTAGTGGAAGGGATAGACAGACAAATAAATAATTACCACATGACATGAGAACACCTAGAATGCAAGGACATACAGGTGTAGAAGCAAAGGCAGAGGGTAAGACGAATTGAGTTGGTGGGGAAATGCTTCTCTTCCACCAGCAGTTTTTAAGAAGTTCTGAACTCAAGTTTCTGATTTGGGAAGGGAAAGCATCCATGATTAGCTATCCACCTGGCCCTTTCAGAACAAGCTCAGGGTCCTAAATCCTATGATGCCACAGGTGAACATGCACAGTGTGCCCTGGTGAGCTGGTTTTAAGATCTAAGACAGGAAGGTGCATCTCTGAATAGCTGCATAGCTGCATCCTTTCTTTGTTTTTGTTTTTTCTTGTCTAGGGCCTTTTTATTTGTACTTTCTTTTTTAATATTTTATTGTGTTTTTGGTGAAAGTTTAGATGGCAAATTAGGTTCTCATTTAACAATTTCTATGTATATTGTCTGGAGCCCTGGTGGTGCCAGTGGTTAAGCGTTTGGCTGCTAACCACGAGGTTGGCAGTTTGAATCCATTAGCCACTCCTTGGAAACCCTACGGGGCAGTACTACTCTGTCCTATAGGGGCTCTATGGGTAGGAATCGACTCGACAGCAACGAGTATACATATTGTTCAGTGACGTTAGTTACATTTTTCACAATGTGTCAGCATTCTCATTATTTCCATTCTGATTGTTCTGTTTCCATTAATCTAGCTTCCCTGTCCCCCCTTATCTTCTCATCTTTGGTCTAGGGTAAATGTTTACTGTTTTGGTTTCACTTAGATGATTATTTAGAGGAGCACAGTACTCACAGATAATATTATTTATTTTATGAGCTAATCTGTCATTTGGCTAAAAGGTGACCTCCAGGAACATCCAGTTCCAAGTTTAAAGGGTTTCCCAGGGCAATAGTCTCAGGGGTTCCTCTAGTCTCTACTAGTCCAGTAAGTCTGGCCTTTTTATAGGAATTTGAGTTTTATTCTACATTTTTCTCCCATTCTATCTGGGACCATCTATTGTGTCCCTGATCAGAACGGTCCGCAGTGGTAGCTGGGCACCATCTAGTTCTTCTGGTTTCAAGGTAGGTGAGGTCATGGTTTGTGTAGACTATTAGTCCTATAGACTAGTTTCTTTTTTGAGTCTTTGGTTTCCTTCTTTTTCTTTTGCTCCAGATGATTAGAGACCAATAGTTGTATCTTAGATGGCCACGCACAAGTTCTTAAGACCCCAGACACTACTCACCAAACTAGAATGTAGAACATTATCCTTATGAACTATATGATGCCAATTAACAGAGTTGCCCCACGAGACCATGGTCCTAAGCCCCCAAAACCAGTAAACAAATCCTGTGAGATGTTTGTTTGTGTCTAGAAGTAACTATAACTGTGCCCCCATGTGCTTTATTTTATATATAATAGGTATGCAGCACACATAAACACGTATATACATATGCTCACAGAGACACCTATACATGTGCATCCATATATGCATATGTCCCTTCCTATACATACATATGCATACATATCCATCTATGTAACCACACACTGCATTCTTTCTTTACAACAGATTTTTTTTCTTTTCCCATCTTAAGGAGCGATTGCATATATAATCATGGTTTTAATTTTTTTTTTAAGTTCTTAGTGTTGTTGTCGTTAGTTGCCATTGAGTCAGCTCCAACTCATGGCAACCTTATGTATAACAGAACAAAACATTGCCAAGTCCTGTGCCATCTTCATGATCATTGTATGTTTGAGTCCATTGAAAACCCTTAGTAGGCTGCTATAAAAAATTAACCTTGTTGTCAAAGGATAATGAAGAAGACCAAAGATTCAGGGGAAGGATTAGTCCAAAGGACTAATGGACCACAACTACCACAACCTCCGCCAGACTGAGCCCAAAACAACTAGATGGTGCCCAGCTACTACCAGTGACTGCTCTGACAAGGATCACAATACAGAGCGGAAGAAAAATGTAGAACAAAATTCAGATTCACAAAAGACCAGACTTGCTGGTCTGTCAGAGACTGGAGTAACCCCAAGAGTACGGCCCCTGGCCACCCTTTTAGCTCAGTACTGAAGTCACACCTGGGGTTCACCCTTCAGCCAAAGATTAGACACATTTATAGGGGAAACAATAACACACGTGAGGAATGTGCATTGTAGTTCAATCATGTATACAAGACTAAATGGCCACACCAACCCAAAAGCAAAGACAAAAAAGCAGGAAGGGACAGGAAAACTGGACAAATGGAAACAGGGAAACTGGGGTGGAAAAGGGGAGAGTGTTTACACATTGCGGGATTGGCAACTAATGTCACAAAACAATATGTGTATTAATTTAACAAGAAACTAATTTGTTCTGTAAACTTTCATCTAAAGCACAATTTAAAAAATTAACTTTGTCACTGTGTTTCCTCCCACAGCTAAAATACAAAGAAGTTTACGAAAGAAATAAGTCCAGCTGCACCATTAAGCCAGACGCTGTTCATATCAAAGCAGCCAAGGATGCCTACAAAGTCAACACCAACGTAAGTTCTAGAACCTTCCCCAAGCCTAATGGGGACATTTATCAGCTTCTGCAGGACATGTGGCCTCTTTTCACATCTCTTCACGTGGTTGAGCTGCAATGAGTCCAGATAAAGAGTTAGGCCCCAGGAGCATGAGTAATGATGCTGAAAATGATGCTGGGGAAGAGCAAGGTGATATAACTGTGCCTTGATGTTTCGGCCACTGCCTTTGGGTCAGGTGGCTGAAAAAGAGGAGATTTACTTCTCAAATGAAGGCTGTGTTTCGGAAAGTGACTTTGTATCTTTTATTCCTGTTCCTGGTGCTCTCCTCCTGCCCCAAACTCTAGAGCCTGCTTCTTCTGAAAGAGAAAACTGTTAGCCGCTTGGTGCTGTCAGGATTCAGCCTAGACCTTTCTCCCACTCAGATACTCCTTGCACTGACTCTTTTCTTTGTGGTGGAACATCTTAAACCCTCAGCCACAGAAACAGTTTTGTGAATTTAAATGAGCACTGACTTTATAAAAATATATAAATGGTTAATGTAACGAAACCATTATTATCCACTGCCGTTGAATTGATTCTGACTCATAGTGACCCTATAGGACACAGCAGAACTGCCCCATAGGGTTTCCAAGGAGTGGCTAGTGGATTTCAACTGCTGACCTTCTAGTTAGCAGCCAAGCTCTTTAATCACTGTGCTACCAGGGCACTGAAACCATTATAATCCAGCTAATTGCCCACTAGTGCCAGAGAGAACGTGTACTTATTCAGATCAGCAAAGTGAAGTGCCTTTAGGAACTGACAGGTAGCTTGAAGGTGGCCTGAGGATGGATTGAGTAGATAGATGTGGGACAAAGCAAATGCAGTCAAATGTACATTGTAGAATCCAGGTAGTAGTTGTATGAATATTGTCTGTTATATTCTTGCAACTCTTTTATATGTTTGAAAATTTTCATAATGAAATGAAAAAAAATCTCATCAGATTGTATACATAAAGTATTTGCATTGTGCTATGCATAAATGAGGCCTCAATTAAAAAAGAGAGGGGGGAGAAAAAACAGTGGAGAAAGAAATATGTCCGACAGTGCAGGCCCTTCCCAAGGACACTCAAATTCCATACACTGTGCTAGCTAAGCAATGCCCTTCTGTGGCTCAGATTTGGCTCGCAGCATCCAGTTCTCCAGCCCTGATGAAAGTCTAGCAAGCACACAAGCACCTCCAAAACCAGACTGCCGGGGTTTGAATCCCCACTCTGCCGCTTCCTAGGTGTCTCACTGTGGGCAGTTTGCTTAATCCCTCTCGGCAGTTCCTCAGCTGTCTATTTCATGGGGTTGTTATAAAGATTAAATGAGCTGGTATTTATAAAACACTTAGAAAAATGCCTAGCATGAAATAAGTACTATACAAGTGTTTGATAATTAAAAAAAGAAAATTAAGCCTGAACTTAGTTAGAAATCAGAAGACTTTGGCTTCAAAAGTGATTACGCTGGACTGGCACAGTTAAAGAGGTTGTAGAATCATTTCATCTAGAGGCCTTTTTAAATTTTAGCCTTTATCTATTTTGGAGTCCCTGGGTGGGCAAAAGGTTAACATGCAAACCAAAAAGTTGGCAGTTCTGTTCGCCCAGAGACTCCTTGGAAGAAAGGCCTACTGGCCTACATCTGAGACATCAGCCATTGAAAATCCTATGGAGCACAGTTCTACTCTGACACACATGGGGTTGCCATGAGTCAGAGTCAACTAGATGGCAACTGGTTTGTTTGTTTGTTTGTTTAATTATGGGACTGGAGGATCCTACCAGATGACCTCTTGAGTGGCTGACTAGCTGCAGAAATCGTACAAAAATTTTAATTGGGGCTCTCTCTTGCATTACGAACTGGTGTGTTCAAATGCATGCTGAGTACCTGTGTGCTGTGTGTACTTATGAATTCTGCCTGCTGAATGAAGGAATTCCTTTTCATCTCTTTAAAAAACAGCTGGACTACAAGAAGCTGTATGAAGCAAACAAAGCCCACTGGAGGTGGACGCCTGATCGACCAGACTTCATCCAGGCAGCCAAGTCATCCCTGCAGCAAAGTGATGTAAGAAAGCAAAGACAAAGACAATCATAACTGCATGACAGAGCTGAGAAATAAAAAATCATCATCATCACTCATAATAAGCACTGTGGTGGATGTTAACCCTACCTCCACCAAGGACTATAGGCTTGTGAGGAGTAGAAGACCAGCTTAGGAAGCCAACCTGGCCACAGAGCCTGCTATCCCAAATGGGTCAGAGCCCCGAGGCTGGGGAGAACCAGGAGGGAGAGCAAGCTGGGAGGGCTTTGTCCTGGCAGCTGGGCTGGAAAGGAGGAGCCCAGTAGGCAGTGAGGGGGGCCAGGGAGCCCCTCCTCTCATTCTGGTAACAAGACCTCATTAGTCCCCTAAAGGGGGAACTCTCCATGGATTTAATCAGATGCCCACCATCCTCCTGTGCTTGGAACCATTTATCATCTTCCTCTGCCTTTCTTCTGTTAACAGTTTGAATACAAACTGGACCGAGAGTTCCTCAAGGGTTGCAAGCTTTCTGTCACTGATGATAAAGACATGGTGCTGGCCCTGAGGAATTCTTTGATCGAAAGCGATGTAAGTATCCAGTGTCTTCCATCTTCTGTACCACTGTCCCCAGGGGCACCCAGGAAAGGACAGGGGAGGACTGCTCCTGCAGGAGCTTGGGTGTGGGTCCTGAAATATGACCCCATCGTGACTGGACAGCAGTGACACGGCAGAGCAGGGCAGCAGCGGTGCAGAGGCTCTACCATCCAAGTGATCACTGTTGATTTATGCTGCACCCCAAGACCATTCACACAGCAAGAATTAGGAGTCTGAAGGCCTGCCTGGATTCTGAATGGAAGCCTTCCATTTATTTTCTGTAGGACTGTACTCTTCTGATGTTGCAGTTTCTTCATCTGGAAATCAAGGAATAATAATGCCTCCCCAGGCTAGGGGGAGGGTCAAATGACATATTTGAAAAATGCTTTAAACTAAAGGTTCTATGTGTAAAGACTCATTGTGAGATCTATTTTGATTGCCATAAAAGGCTCAATTTGCAAGAGATAAAGAAAAATTCCCTTTGAATATTTCCTGAGATTTCCAAACATCAAATCTTTCACTGAGTTTTAAGGTTCCTAGTGTGTCAAAGATGCTAGTCTCCCAGCTATATCTAGTGGTTTGGAGGCTAAATAAAAATATGCACGATACTCAGACGAGCTAAAGAAATGTTGGGTTTTTTTGGTTTGTTGTTTGTTTTACTTTTTTTCATTCCTGTAGCTAAAATACAAAGAGAAACATGTCAAGGAAAGAGGAACCTGCCACGTTGTACCCGACACTCCTCAGATTCTACTGGCAAAGACTGTCAGCCATCTGGTGTCCGAGGTAACCATGCCACAGCCCATATGCTCCACTTCCTTCTCGGGCTAACGCCCCAGGCAAGTGATTTAACAAGCTCTCTGTGGATTCCCTCAGAACAAGTACAAGGACCATGTCAAGAGGCACTTGGCCCAGGGCTCATACACAACACTGCCAGAGACTCGTGACACTGTTCATGTCAAGGAAGTGACCAAGCATGTCAGTGATGTAAGTGACCACCACGGGACTCTGGGCAGCAACAGTGCCACTTTTCCTTAGAATCCAGGGATGGACTGTAAGCTCACATTTTGCTTACCAATGCTTTCCTTTATATAGCTTCCCTCTCATCATCAATACTAATATGTGAATCTTGAACTCTGGTTAAAAAAAGAATCCAATATTACTGGCTTTCCACTTATGGCAATTATGGTAAATGTGGATTTTGCCACAGGGTATGTTATCTAGCCGTGTAAGATGTTACTGGACTAGTGTTAGTATGGGGAAGAAGCATTGATTGTTAAGAGTAGCCTCTCCTGTCCTTATACTGTTAAATAATTTTTTTAAATAAATTTTAAAAAATAACAGTTGCAGTCAATTTGATTCCAACTCATGGCAACCCCACGTGTGTCAAAGTAGAACTGTGCTCCACAGGGTTTTCAATATTTTTCAGAAGTACATCACCAGACTTTTCTTCTGAGACGTGTCTGGGTGGACTTGAACTGCCAACCTTTCAGTTTTAGAGAAGTATAAATCACGTCTTTGTACTTCAACAATCTCTGTCCATGATATCCTTACCAATAATGCTGTAGTAACCACGGTATTATGTTTTGTGAGTTCCTTATGGTTCCATCTTAAAAAAAAAAAAAAGTGGAAATGATGAATAAGAGTTGACTTTTGCTTGTAGTCAATTCCCCCAAAGATTGCTGGGAGGTTCTAGTGTTGGGTTCTAGGATAGAAATGACAGGGAAGAACTAATTAGAACATGGGTTGAAGATCTAAGTCCCAGACTGATGTCAAAATAGGGAACTATGGAGATCTTCTCACAGTTCTTCAAGTAAATCAATTTTATTCCCAGCTTTCTCTACTCACACCAATAATTCTGGCTGTGTTTAGACAAATTACAAAAAGAAGTATGTCAAGGAGAAAGGAAAGTCCAACTACTCCATCATGCTGGAGCCACCAGAGGTGAAACACGCTATAGAAGTGAACAAGAAGCAGAGTACCGTGAGTTTCCCCTACTTGATGCTCTCAGAGACCCTTTGTGCAATGGAACCTAATCTGGTGCCTGCTAGGGCTTGCTTCAGTGAGTGGTTACCCCCACTTTTTCATCTGATAGTTTAAAAAAATGGTGGGAATTGGTTTGGTTTTAAGTAAAAGGAGCTCTGGTGGTGCAATGGTTAAGAGCTTGGCTGCTAACCAAAAGGTCAGCAGTTAGAATCCACCAGCTGCTCCTTGGAAACCCTATGGGGCAGTTCTACTCTGTCCTATAGGGTTGCTATGAGTTGGAATCGACTCAATGGCAAAGGGTTTGGTGTTTTTCTGTTTTTTGTTTTTTGTTTTTAAGTAAAAAAGTTTGCTTGTGCTTTGTGTGGACTTTTTGAAAGATGGTGCATCTCTCAAGTGAGTAATTGTTATCCTTCTGCCAATAAAGGTCGCTTACAAAAAAGATGCCAAAGAGAACCTGCATTACACCGCAGTAGCAGATCGGCCAGACATCAAGAAGGCCACGCAGGCAGCCAAACAGGCCAGTGAGGTAAGGGTGTGCCTAAAATGTCCCCATTCCCAAGCCTACTGCCAACAAGTCATACAAGGCTCCCATCACGTGCCAATGTGTTGCCCATTTTTTGTTTTCTTTGATTCAGGTGGAATACAGAGCTAAGTACCGCAAGGAAGGCAGTCATGGCTTAAGCATGCTTGGTCGCCCAGACATTGAAATGGCCAAGAAGGCAGCCAAGCTGAGCAGCCAGGTAATCTGGGCTGGCAAGCAGCAGCTCTTAAGAGGAGATAAAAAGAATCTTGCAGGGGGAGGTAATTCCCGGAATGGAAGTGCAGTATTAGCAATCAGAGAGACACTGGGTCTTTGATAGCACTGAAGGCTTTGAAAAATTATAGCATGAAGTGTTTCTCTCTAATCTGTCTAGGCCTTTCTGATTCTCCACTTTCCCATTTATGGGTATATGTCTAGGTGTCTGTGTGTTTAACAATCTTCATGTGACAAAAACATCAGCACATAAGGTCCTACTGAAACCCCTCCCCAGGCAATGAGAATAACACCCCAAAGGTCTGATTCATACTTGAATTGCCTGTGGGAGGTTTGTTAGCAAAAGTCATGAAATTCTAACTTCTGGAATCCAAACAGATGCAGTCACATTTACTCTTTCATTCAACATACATATATTGAGTGCCTGGGCTAGGAATGGGGAGGATGACTGAATGTCTTCAGACTACATGTCTGTGGATAAATAATTACAATTTGGTATAAGTGTTTGATAAAGGGATACACAGGATGTTGAGGGGGAATGCTTCATTCTAGCAGATGTCATCTTATTGGGAAGAAGATGGACCCAGAAATATGTTGACCAAACCTGGTTGCCATATTACCTATTTTTCTTGTTATTCTCCAATTATCTGTGATACCCCATATTATCACAGGTTTTCAGACTTTAGCTCACAGACCCCATGATCTACCACCAGATCTCTCAAAGGAACAAGTTTGGTTCCCTAGAACTTGAGCTCAAGAATATCTTATTTCTCTTCCAATTTAGAGATACAACTTTCATTTGTTCATTAACTGTTCTTTCAGGTTCTTGTTTGAGGAAATAATTTTGGGTAATTTGTTTGCTATATGGACTGACTTTCAGCAATACCAAAGATGGAATTTCAATCGTTTAGAATATACAAATTAGTAACGTCAAGTGATAGAACCTCAAAACAAGTTTGAAATTAGAAAGAGGCAGAAAGTTCGGACGACTAATTACAATATGATTTTTTTAAGTTTTTTATTTTAAAAACTCTGTGCAGTATTTTTATTATAAGTTAATGGAATTGTATAAGCATTTGAGAACAAGATATGAAATCACCAAAAAAACTGGTGGAATCTCTAAAAGTGATGACATGTAATAAGATCTTATTAAATAAAAATACCTTTTTTTAAGGTCATCTCATTATCAAATTAAAAACAAATGACTTTGAGGTTGAAATTTTGAAAAAGCTGTACTGTTTGTGAAAACCTAGAGGCTTATATTTCTAATCATAAGTGAATCTTATGGCATGGAGAATGGGACCCAGCCAGATCCTTTTTATGAGCTCACCTTCCTGGGTTCACTTCCTGTGAAAGGCTCACCTTCCTGCATTCACTTCCTGCAAAAGGCTTGCCTCTGGATTCACAGTTTGGGCATCTTCATCGTGTGGCCCCCTGGCCCAAGGGGGTTTCAGCTGCGTGTGAGGTCTCCCCATTCTGACTTTGCTGTCTTGCCGCATACTCTAGGTGGAATACCTCAAAGGCCAAAGGAGAGGGCACGGGCACGGCGCCGCATCTTATGACACACCTATGATGAGGCATCTTAAGAAAATTAATGTGCTCATCAGTGATGTAAGACTGACATCAGCAAGCAGATATTTCTGTCTTTCTCTTTTTCTTGTCTCCTTTCTTGGCCTTGGTCAGATGACTGACCAAGTTGCACTCTTTTCTGTTGATTTTGTGTTGGAACGTGTAGAATGCTGTGGAAATTTGTGAAAGGATCTAATTTTGCACACTATCCTCTTTCTCTGCATGAAACTTTCCCCCTAGAACATGCCAGTTGGAATAGGAAGATAGATGTGACTTGGAAATAACCTCCCAATGTACTTTAGGTGGTTGATAGTGATCAACTTAAAAGATGAAATGAAAACAGAGAATCTCATCTTCAACCACGCAAAGAAAACCTTCGCTTCTCCTAAAGATATTTACCATTGTTGATATTTAATACATTTGGTATTTAATGCAGTCTCTCATTCAACAGGTCTAGGTATTTAAAAGGCTTTCACTCACAGTTTTTTGACCCTTCGTTTTATAATCTTAAAAGCAAGAAATGTTCTCATTATTGAGCCTGTTCTTGAGCCTTTAAAGCACCAACATATAGCTCGATTACCTGAAAAAGAGCTGAAAAGTTGGAATGTTAGACTTTTAAATACAATTAAACCTTGAAAGGATAATTAATTGAACACCACTTTACTAGACTACACTCATAATAGAACACCGTCTGAGCCTGGTAGGGTTGTAAAACTCTGGTGCTGCTACTTGTTGATACGCAGCATTGCACAGTTGCTGCTTAGAGTTCCATGATTAAAACAAAGGAGGAAAAAGACTTCACTATTCCTCAATGCCAACATGTATATAGTTTTACTGCACTTACTGCCTTGTCCAACACCATTCTAAGAATTCCTGAGGTCCTGAATTGGATGTGTGTGCTTAATTTTCGAAATGGATAAGACCCAGCCAAATAGTAAGACTGTAAGTGCCGAACTCAGATTCATTTGAGTAGTCAGTCATGCTGGGCTCCATTTGTCTGGGGGCTTTCTTGTGGAGGAGTCCCTGGGTAGTGCAAATGATTTTGAAACGTTGAAGGTTTGTGTCCGTCCAGGGGCACCTCAGAAGAAAGGCCTGGAGATGTGCTTCCAAAAAATCAGCCATTGAAAACCCTATGGAACACAGTTCTCCTCTGACACACATGGGATTGCTGTTGTCAAAATCGACGCAACTGCAGCTGGTTTTGATTTGGCTTTTTTTTTTTTTTTGGTCTTCTTTTACAGAGGGGAGGCCTAACTTGTTTTTAATTAAAAAGTAAGAAATTTAAGTTTACTTGACATGTAGAGAAGAAAAAGAAACTGAAGTGATACCAATGGACTTGCTACTCTTCAAATAAACACTTCTTCAGAAAAGAGCTATTATTTTCTAAAAGATAAAAAAAGGACTTTTAGCATTCTTTTAAAAGGAGCTGATTTTATTCTCATCCAAGAAGGGCCTTTGCATCTCTTCTGCCCCAGTGTCACTCTGCATCTGATTTACTTTGCTTGTCTGTGTTTTACAGCTCTTGGGCGTTTTCCTATTCTTATGGATTCCTATATCCCCTAGGAAAAGTCTTCTTTTAGTTCAGACCCCAACTCACCACCTCTGACCTTCCCTAGTAGGATTTCCATTTCTTTCTTTTGAGAATGAATTTCCTGTGATAGAAGAACCATTCTAGCATTTATTTAAATGTTGTTGTCCTAGTCTGTCCTGTTTCTGCTTACTTCTGCGTGTCTGTCTCAGTTTGCCTGCATCACGCAGCTTTGTTCTGCATGCTTATTTTTTCTCTGCATTTCCACTGTGAGTTTATTCAAAGTAAATAAGTCTCAATGTTGTGAATGAATTTTCTCTGATGTGGCAGATTTCATTGTTTTAGCATTTGAGTGGTCTCATTTTATGTCTGTTTTGATGAATATGTAAAGTTTCAGAGAAGTGAAGTCCAGCGCTGAAGTGTGAGGGGTACTGATTTTAAATGTCTACAGAGTGACATATCCGGGTGACTGGATTTTGGTATGCTAACTTTGAATGACTGATTCTTTCCTATTACTAGTAACAGAAACTCTAGGTTTCCTTGAGAGTCAAAAAGTTCGCCCTTTTAGTTGGCTAACATCTAGAACTCGCTCATTTTTCATTCTTCCTAGAGTGAATCACTGGTGGAGTTCTACTTCTGGACTTAATTCTAGAATATTATTGACAAATGCATCAGTCTGTTTTTTAATAAGGAAATTTTTGTCGCTTTTAGTTATTCTGTTGAATTTCTTGTAAACAAAACATCTTCCTTAGACGTTTTACCTAGGCATAATGACACACTCTTCATTCATTCATTCAATCAAAACACATTTATTGAGAAACTGTTAGTGTCAGGCATTGGGCTTTTAATTTAAAAAAAAATGAAGTTATTTAGTCCTTTGCATAACCTTTGCATATACTTTCGTATATCCTAAAAGTATATTTAATCTTATTTTTTCTAATTATTCTAATGTATCTCACTTCTTTCTTCTATTCTGACATCATACTGGAGGCCAATAGCCCCAAAATTCTGTTCTTTTTTTTTACTCAAAAGTTACACTATTTTTGTGAAGTTTTAAAAAATTAAAATGATATGCCAAAGTGTTATTTAAAATCACAATAAATTCTTCTAATTTAACAGATTTCTTAGCTCTAACCTTTCTTGATCATATACAACTGCTCTTTGAATTCCTTGCAGAAGACCTAAAATGCTTGTGGTTTTGCAATTTAGGAAGTCTCAAATGCTCTGAATCAATTAGATAACTTTTCTACATTTAGCCTGAAGTCTTCTTCCACTTATTTTTGTTCTGCATTAGAAAGAGGTGGTTCCCTTTCATACCTCTGGATAATATATAATAATATAATATTATATTGTTATATCACTTGGTCTTTTCCTTGATTGCCTGTTGTCCCAGCATAACTATTAATGGTGCCCTCTTTTACTCTGAAGACAGTCCCAGTCTGGATAATAAATGATATTGTCATCTTGTGTATAACATATAGTCTTTGGCCTATGTATTTCTCCCATTTCCTCAGTTCTCAAATTGATTGACATTCAGAAATAATTTGGATGTTTGCATTTGCTGTTAGATTAAATATCGAGAAAATTTCGACAAAGAGAAGGGCAAGACACCAAAATACAATCCAAAAGACAGCCAGCTCTACAAAGTCATGAAAGATGCCAATAATCTCGCAAGTGAGGTATGTTCTTCATCGCCCTCTCCAGCATTTGTTTCAGGATGTGGTATCTCACTATGATCTCCAACAGCGCTGTTTTCCATTTCCTATATTTGTAATCTCCTTTTATTTTTTTTTTCCCTTCATATGCAGGTTAAATACAAGGCAGACCTAAAGAAACTTCACAAACCTGTGACTGACATGAAGGAATCCCTGATAATGAATCATGTCCTTAATACAAGCCAACTTGCCAGTTCTGTAAGCTCAATCATTCATTCCTGAAATAGCTTGTTTCACCCATTTGCAACTAAATTCCTTCCCTGAACTCACATGCATCTCCTTCTCTGCTACTGATACACTAGATATATTAGAAAGTTCTTCTTGTGTTTGAGTATATTCTTCCAAATTGCAACATTAATCTCCCAATTCTCCATTGACTATAACACCTCACAGAATGTAATGCTTCTATTTTTAGAACATTAATCTATTTTTTCTTTGAATTAACGAATACCTTTCCTCCTTTTAAGGACATAGAATTCCTGTTTGCGACAGTCTCTTTCAGTTTTAAAACCTACTTAGTATATTCAAGCCGTGTAACATAAGTGTTTACCTATAGCATTCAATTGACAATACTGAATGTATATTTTCATCTCTTAAAACTCTTTTTTAACCCGCCACTTAGTGTTCGCTAGTTCTAATCTGGCTTGACAATGCTGCTGTGTAAATGTCTAATCTAAAGAGGAAAAACAGGAATACTGAGAAGCTTTTCCACCCATTGACTTTTTTGCCACCTTCCGCTCAGTACCAGTACAAGAAGAACTATGAGAAGAGCAAAGGCCACTATCACACAATACCTGATAATCTGGAGCAGCTGCATCTAAAAGAGGCCACAGAATTACAGAGTATAGTAAGTTGATCAAGACTGACTTTTTCCCCAAAGCACATTCATCAACAATGTCAATGAATTTCATGGATCCCCCAGAAGAGTAGTTATACTTCTAGCAGCTGCATTGAGAAAATGGTGGAAGATGTAATGGGCTTTTGAATTTAGTAACACTTTGAAATAACTTTGGTTGTTATAAACTATAACACCATCTACATATATTAGAGAAATAGTACATATACATGCAAAATATGCTACTCAGGTTACTGTCTGGGGCTGGAAGTACAAAGGTTATGTTATAAGCGGGACGATGGCCCCAATGTGCCCCACAGGTCTGTGTCCTAGGTTAGGAAATGCTACAATTCTGATTTAGGAGGATTTTAATCAGAGAAGTGGTATGATCAGATCTGCCACTGAAGGAATCTCTAGGTATTTAATAAGTTGCTAAATTTGTAAAAAAATTGAAGAGTCTCAGAGCAAAGAGTCCGCAGGAAGCGTTTGTTATCATGTGACTTCCTATATCACAAATTCAGTATTATTTAGTGTCCTGTTGAGCATTAACCAATAGGACTAAGTGACTAGAAATGTCCTCATATCATCTGCAAGCAGCATATGCCTGAGGCCTCTATTCTGTCAGCCTTCAAGACCTTATAGCCAGAAGAGCTGAGACTTGAGCATTGCCATTAAGATGCTGTGTGAATTTCAGCAAGGGCCTTTGCCTCTCTTTCAATTTCTGCTGTGTAAAATATGAACATCTAATGATTCCCTCATTCCTAATCACATGTTAGCAGGATGAGGAAATTGCATTTGTGACATAGCATGTTTCCATTCTTAAATATGTAAGCAATTATGGCCCATAGAGAGTTATTATAAACAAAGTTGCTATGTATCCATTAAATCAAGACCCCAGGTTTCTAGTAAATGTTCTTATGCAAGAAAAACTAGACATTTTTATCAGAAATATTAACTAACACTGTTAAAATGTTCACATCCGTGCTTATCAAACCTTGACCCACCTTATTGGTGGGTAATTTCCCCTATGTATTTCCTACCATCAACATTTCTTCCAGCTGATCTTTCTGTAATGATTCTTTTGCCTCCTTGAATTTTGGACAAACATCCTAATTATGCCTTGCAGACAGTAATGGTGTTTTCCCCCCAGGAAATAACAAAAAGGTGCTGGATCTGAAACACAATCAGGCCCTTTTGAATGGTGATGAGATGCTACCCAATTGGACACAATAGATGCATTAAAAAGCACTACCCCTAAACAAGTCTCTACCAAGGAGTTGACCAGAGGAGAGATTACTAATAAGATTTTTTGTCACTAGGTGAAATACAAGGAAAAGTTTGAAAAGGAACGAGGAAAGCCCATGTTGGACTTTGAAACACCAACATACATCACTGCCAAAGAGTCTCAGCAAATGCAGAGTGGGGTAAGTCTTTAAAAACCACACCACACAACACACATACCATCAAGATGATGAGAACAAACCCTGTCCACAAACACAGCTGGCCTCTCGTTATCCAAAATTGATAGATGATGCCACTTTTTAACATGTGATCAGTAAAATTATTTCCATCTCAGAAATCCTATGGTTTAGTTATTAAAAAAGTCCTAAACAGTAGATTGTTACTGTATATGTTTTACTTGGAACTATCATTTTTCACAGAATTAGAATAGCAAACTATTCCTGAAATGAAACAAATTATATTGAATATAATTTGCATTTTTCTTTGATGAATGAAAAGGCCCCTTTATACAGACACACCATTGGCTTTGGAATGCCCTAGCCTTAGAAGGATGCCCCAAGCCAAACAAAAGAGGATTAATAATTACAATGTTTATCAAGACCCCAGAAAATAAGAAGTTAAGGTGCCATAATTCCTATTTTAGAATTGTAATCAGAGGCATTTTAAGATTCTCTCTCTCTCTTTTCTTTTTCCATTTTTAACCAAAGGTGGAGAAGAATGAAATCTTGTTTGAAACTTAGAAAGTCTGCATTCAGGGGGAGACAGTCTTTTTATTTCTTTTTGCTTTTCCTCTATGTGACATATCTCCAAATGTAAAGATGAATAGTTTTTAATAAGAGTAGCAGTTTATGGAGCTTTCTGGTGCACAGAACGCCAGATAATCAAAAGTTTAAGATAGTTTCAAACAATTGGTATATCTGAGTAAGGAGTCTATGGGAGTTCCTTGTCCTATTCTTGCAAGCTTTCTGTAACTTTTAAATTATATCAAAAAGTTACAAGAAAGGAGTTCCAACATCTATTCCAAGCCTCTCAAAGATAGCCTAGTACAGGGATTGGAAAGACAGGAGAAGTTGTCGCCCTTTCTCTTAACCATGGACAAAGCCAACAAATTTCTCTATGCCTCATTGTCTACTTTATCTACGCAGTGATTTAAAAAATAGGTCATGATTATGAAAAAGACCAAGTTTGCTTTTAGTACTCTCGGACTCCTTTTCCTCTAGGTTTTTTTTTTCCCCCTTGAGTCATTTATTTCTAATTATGAAATGGAATTTTTTGTCACCTTAAGAAAAATATAGGAGGATTTCAGGAGCAAAGACTGGTGTCTTAATGGCACATCCCTCATTCCACGCTGCCAGAGGGCCAGCCCCAGTCACAACGTTATGCGGATGCATGAGGAGTCCATTAAAGTTTCTCAACTTGTGCATTTCCTTGGGGCCCTTTGCTGTGGACAAATTGTTTCCAGAACAATCAGACATGTTTCAAATGTTTCTGCTCATTAGCAGAACTCTAATCAAGTCTAGAGGTCATAAGTAGAAAGAAAACATTGTAATTTTTTTTCTTTCTAGGATTGAAAATAAATTGTAATAAAGATTATTTTTAATTTGTCTTTCCTTCCTACTTACATTAGAAAGAGTATAGGAAAGATTATGAAGAGTCCATTAAAGGCAGAAACCTGACTGGCCTGGAGGTCACGCCAGCTTTATTACATGTCAAATATGCCACCAAAATAGCAAGCGAGGTAGTGCCCACTTGCTCTCTTCTTTCCTTCTTGATCCAAATAATTACACTAATGACGTGCATCCGTGTGTTCCTTCTACCATTTTCATCACCACCTAACTTTGTGGGTTTCAAGTTGGATTCACATGTGTTTGGTACTACCACCTAATCTATTACCCATGTTAATTCTTCTAATTTTTTAATTGAATATCTAATAAAGTGTGCTTACCTTAGCATTCTATTAATTTCTATTTTTTACTTGATATTTAATAATAACTGATGAAGCTTATGACCTGTCTTTATTTGTGTCTTCACTTACTAAACTTTAAGCTGTTTAAAATTTGGAAGGGTTTTGTTTTTTTTTTTTTGGCTGTTTATGAAAGAGGAACGATTTATACTTTCTTGTCAGTGTTGTTGCTTTTATTTCGTGATATAGAAAGAGTACAGGAAAGATCTAGAAGAAAGCATCCGTGGGAAGGGCCTCACTGAAATGGAAGATACTCCTGACATGCTTAGGGCAAAGAACGCCACGCAAATCCTCAACGAGGTAGGCGCACACCCAACAACAGGTACATAATTAGCAGAGCATCTTTTCCTTCTTAGCCAAGTTACGCCAAAAAACAGAGAAGAGATCAAAGGAAATTTTTTTAAATTCCTAATTCCATATCCAACATGATCATTAACAATTAAATAAGATATATCTCAATTTCTGATGAATTTGCTAATAACAGTCTGTTCCTAAGTGGTCATCATAACCACTTAGTTATTTATCTAATATTATTTGATTTAAGCTTGATCCATTCAGTGTGCTTATTCAAATAAAAACACTGGAGTGCTGTGCATCTTATTTTAATCCCAGTTATGTACCAAACCAGATGGAAAATTTGCTTTATACTTTAATTTTCTAAGTAGAGAATGCTAATACTATTCAAAAAGAGTCCTCGTATTGATTCATGTTGACACAAGCAGAGCAGTTTACTAAAGTGGGCCTCTGTAGTCACCATTCCATCCAACACATAGAATGGTGAAGGTGCATATTAGCAAGAGAATACTGCCCAGGACCACTAAGGTGGCACTTATGTAGATTTATATTCACTATTCACTCTGTACATTTATTGCCTAGTAATGGAGGTTAGGTAATCTTTTTTACGATGCCCCTGTAGAAAGACTCCACGGCAATGGGTTTGGTTTTTGTTCTTTCTTAATAGAAAGACTATAAGAGAGACCTGGAGCTAGAAGTCAAAGGAAGAGGCCTGAACGCCATGGCCAATGAAATTCCCGATTTTATGAGGGCCAGGAATGCTACTGATATTGCCAGTCAGGTCAGTGTTACTATGCCATGATCAATCTATCAAGAAAGTAGTTGGGGTTATAAGGACAAAATATTATCACTCTATTGTCTACTTGTTGGTCAATGACAGTCAATTGTATACAATGTCTTTCATGAACACCTGCCTGGTGGAATCCATTCCAATGAAAAGATGAGGGCCCTTTGCCAGGCCTGCTTCCATCAGCTTTTCTGGGTCTACAGCCACAGAGAACATTCAGAGCAAAGGGCAGCAGTTGGGGAACCAAACAGTGGCTTGGAGCTGTGGCTGACTCTGACCCCCTGGCCTTATTAGCCCTTGTTTCTTAGTCAATACACCCATCATTTGGTACCCAGAATTTCTTGCTTAGAATATGTTGGGTGTTCTTTCCTTCGCTCCTTTCAAGACCTAAATTTAAAACACAGTTTTTAAGGATCTTATGTTTTCTAATGCTAATTGGTATGTATCTTTTGCTTACTTTTCATTCTCCTAGCTCTTATGTATACAACCCATGCTTTACTGTATGTTGATTACATCTCTCCTTACCCATAGCCCCATATTATGCCCAACTAGATAGTAAGTCTCTCAACAGCTAGGACTCAACCTAATCTTACTCTTTAGTATTAAGTTTGAATACAGTAGGAAAAATATTTGTTGAATGTTAAATGAAGGAATCCTTTTGGGAAAGAAATACTGATCATCTCTTAATCAAACCAAGCCAACAATGTTGTGCACCTTGTAAACTTCTACCCAACTGTTGGATGTTCTTTTACAGATTAAATATAAGCAATTAGCAGAAATGGAAAAAGCCAATTTCACCTCTGTGGTTGATACTCCGGAGATCATTCATGCCCAACAAGTCAAGAATCTTTCAAGCCAGGTAAGGGTATTCATGAGAATATCACTCATACATCCCAATCGTGAAGAACAAAAGTCCTTCATACCTAAGGGTATTCTTTCAAAGCACAATTTTGTCCAATAAAAAAGAGGGAATTCATCTATGACGTAAGTTTGAGATAGAGTTAAGATTTTTATATCACAATCAAAATGGATTATAAGATGGAATTTTAAGGTGCTAAAGAACTCTTGAGAAGCCCTGGTGGTGTAGTGGTTAAAATGCTCAGCTGCTAAACAGCAAGGTCAGCAATTTGAACCCACCGGCCGCTCCTCGAGAGAAAGATGTGGCAGTCTGCTTCTATAAAGATTTACAGCCTTGGAAACCCTATGCGGTCACAACTCGACTGGACAGCAGTGGGTTTGGGGTTTTTTGGTTTTAAAGAACTCTTTCATAGTACAATCCACAACTAATGAATTAACATTTTATCATCTAAAATCTCTGATAATGGTGGTATAAGATTTATGTACGAATCCAGAAAAAAACAAAATAGACGACCCAAATTTGGATTATCAGTCTGTTTAAATGAGATTGAGCTTCTATCATCAACACTATCCCTACAGTTTAACCCCGATCCCTCCCACTGATGGGTGACCCTGCCTCTTACAAGTACAGAGATGAAAAGTAGGATGTCCTTCATATATCAGGATATACCTTACTTGTTTTAATCTTCAGTGATGGTCAGGAGACTGAAGTTTGTTTGTTTCAAATTAACATTTTTGCTTGTCTTTTGATTGACGCATCCTAAAGCAGTAGTTGGAGCCCTGGTGGTGCAGTGGTTAAGAGCTACGGCTGCGAACTGAAAGGTCGACAGTTTGGGCCCACCAAGCTGCTCCTTGGACACATTGTGGAGCAGTTCTGCTCTGTCCTATAGGGTCGCCGTGAGTTGGAATTGACTTAATGGCAACGGGTTTGGGTTTTTTTTCTTTGTTTTAAAGCAGTGGTTACCTAGTCCAGCTGTGCTTTATAAACAGCTGGGACTATAGATTCCCTGGCCCCGCCTTGAATTTTTTGAGGCTAGTAAGTCTGAGATAAATGAGCCCTGGTGGTGCAGTGGTTAATTGCCAAGCTGCTAACTGAAAGGTAGGCAGGTTTAACCCACCAGCCCACTTCGGGAGAGAAAGATGTGGAAGACGACTTTCGTGAAGATTACAGCCTTGGAAACCATACAGGGCAGTTCTACTTCTCTATGAGTTGGAATCTACTCGATGGCAACAGGTTTGGTTTAATCTGAAGGCTGAGATAGTCCCTGGAAATCTGTGTTTGTTTGTTTTTAATCTTCACAGATGATCTTTTGATGACCAATCAGGTTTGGAAATCATAGATTTAACCCTTTATTAGCAACATAAAATTTTGTATCATGAAATTAGACACAAAAATTATAGTCATCACTACAGAGTAGTTGAATTAGGAAATGGATATATTCAAATGGGATAAAATGAACCTTTTTGGGGACAGGAGAAGGTGAAGAATAATTACCTTTTTTTATTATCAAAATTACGTGAGCCCCAAAGTACCTTGTTGGGCTCATTTGGTCAGTCAGGAAGGACACCATTCTTGGGTTCTTTGGGCTGTGAGAGGCTTGCCAGCCATATTATCTTCTGGCTTTTTGACACTGCTAATCTTTAGAGAAAACCTCAGCATACAAGCCTGTCCCTGGGAGAGATTAAGTCACTTATACTCTGCTAGTATGTGCTCTCCTGGGCACTCCTCAACTGGCTCCACAAGGCCTGAAATAATGGACCAGGCACGTTACTTCATTCTGGATTCGGATCAGTATTTACATGTAAGTGATCGGAGAGTGCTGCTGCTTTCCACAAAATTGCTTCTGAGATTTTCAACGGGAGTCTGTATTTTATAACTTCTGCTACAAAGAGTGAAGCGCTCAATTACTAGCCATAAAGGTTGACAGCTCAAACCCATCCAGAGGCACCACAGAATACAGACCTGGTGATCTGCTTCTGAAAAGTCACAGCCTTGAAAACGCCATGGAGCACAGTTCTACTCTACACACATGGGGTCACCAAGAGTGGGAATCGACTCACTGACAACTAACAACAACAAACCTCAGACTTGGGGGTTAATGCAAACAGTGTGATCTGACTCACAAATTCAGGACACTGAATTCAGAATACTGAATACTTCTCCGTAAGCCATGGAGTACAGGTCCTTTTCTTCTCAGAATACCCCGAGCTCCATGTGTAAATTCATGGCTCTTCTTGCAGTGACTACAAACCCGTTGAGGCAGATTTTGCTTTACCTTAAACGGAAAAAAAAAAAAAAAAAAAAAGAAAAGGAGAATTGGTTCTATCCTTTACCCAGGGCAATTCTTTTACCCAGGGCGATGAGACCTGTTTGCCTAACATTTGCATAACTATGAAGAATCATTCAGGTGATTTTTTTTTTCCTGAACAAAGAACAGAACATCTGCTCCAGTGACCTGCCCTTTCCTTCAGGAAATGTGGGGGAGGGTAGAACAATCTTTGCTCTAACTGGTTTCCTGTTAGCTGAGCAAAATCTAGGCTGAAAGCTTTTATTAGTTGAAACTACTTCTCTTTTTGGTGTTTTTGAAGAAATTAAATTTTTGAACACTTATAAAATGTAATTCATATACAATGCAATTTAGATAGAGGATAGATAGATAAGTAGATAGATGAAGGAAGGAAGGAAAGGGGAGGGAAAGAAGGCAGAAAGAAAGAAGTCTTAATCCCATTACAAACGGGACAAGTCTCTTTCCTCAGCCCTCATCCCTCTATACCAGAAATTCCCAGAAAAATGGGGGAAACTGGAACGAGATAAAACTGAAAGAAAAGTGAAAGGATGTTGTGACAAATGATGAAAGAAAAATAAGGGCTATAAGAACTAGTGTTCAGCTACCCAGAATCACTGGTGATGATTAGTTTCACCTGGGGGATTTACCGTGTAGTGCCTGGGAGAAGCACAGCCCCTGTGGACAGGTCTCTCCAACCAAGGGCAAAGACGGGGCTGGGAAAACACAAGGAAAAGTGATGGCGTGCTTAGAGCAGTCCTTGGCTGGTCAGTTCAGATTCTCTTGGTTATAGGACAGCTCCGGGTATTTCTGTTGAGAAGAGTCGTGAGTCTGCTTCAGGATGGTTTCTGCAGAGTCAGAGCCCTGTGTGTTCTGGGAGCACCTTCTGGGCCTGTCCTCTCGCTCAGTGCTGCAGCCCCAGCCCTGACCACACCTGCTCGTGGCTCTTCAAATGAGACCTGCTCTTAAACCTCCTCCTCTCCCTCTGCCTGTGGAATACTCTGACTCCTGGCTGAATGGTTCTATCCAGTTGCTCGAAGAGTATTGCCACTGTAGGCATCCCCATCTCCCTGCCAGGAGTCTCCTTGGCTGTAACTTCATGCCTGTGGACCAGCTAGCAAGGGTCTTTCTCTGCCAGCTTCACCATGACAGTGGGTCTTATTAAATGCCCAGGCTTAGTTCTCCTGGAAAGAAAAGTTCTCGCTGACAGAGAGGATTCTGCTTTGTAAACTACCTAATGTCCTTGAAGGGAGTCCCTGGGTGAACCAAATGTTTAAGAGCTCAACTACTAACTGAAAGGTTGGTGGTTCAAGTCCACCCAGACATGCCTAAGAAGAAAGGCCTGGCAATCTGCTTCCAAAAGATCACAGCCTTGAAAACCTTATGGAGAGGAGTTCTACTCTACACACATGGGGTTGCTGTGTACCCGATAGCAACTAGTCTGTTTTTTTTTTTCCAATGTTGCAAAGATTTTTGTTTTTTTTTTTTTATTGTACTTCGGGTGAAGGCTTACAGAACAAATAGTTTCTTATGGAACAGCAGTACACATATTGTTTTATGACATTGGTTAACAACCCCACAGCATGTCAACTCTCTAACTTCTCAACCTTTTTTTTTGGTGAAAATACACATAGCCAAAGATACACCATTTCAAAAATTTCTACATGCACCGTTCAGTGACATTGACTACGCTCTTCCAGTTGTGCTGCT